GACCGCTGGGATGACAACTAACCAGGACAACCCCTGCAAGACCTACTCGACCTGCCCTGTTGAGGTAAGCGACATGTTGCCTGCCACCCTGTGCAGTCTATGCACTCCTAAACCCCGAGGAATGGTCAGATGTGCTGTGCCCCATTCAAATCACCAGGCATTTTGTTTACGTTGGCTGCCCGGGTCTCACAAGTACAGATCTCCTCCATTCCCCACCACATCCCCGGTTTCCAGTGTGTGCTCTGGAAGTGGGATGTCCCAGGGACCGTGTGGGGCAATCCCTACCTCGTTGTCATGCCTGACATCATGCACCAGGCGGACCTGGGCATCATGAGCCACATTGTGGCTGTCGTGCGCAAGATGAAGAAGCGGCGCGTGAAGCAGATGGACAGGTCAGTGTTTTGGGGGATTGGATTCGTTGCTCTTGGTCACAAAAACTCAAAGCAAAACTACTGTGCTCGTACTGACATGTTTCTGGATTTGTGCCGCCGTTAAACTGATGTGTATGGACAGGCGCTTGTCACTCATTCGCGACCGCACGCGACTGAATCACATGCGCATGCCAGAGAGCGCCTACTTCGAGACCGGAGCATGTGTCGCGGCCTATGAGCATAGGGCTGTCATGCAGGTATGAAAGCCTTGATTGTTATCATCGTGTGCGATAGGCTGCACCCTAACCACACAGCATGCTGCTGCCTGCCCCCTCCTCCATTCCCTGTTGCTTGTCCCCACCGCTCCTCAACCAGTCTGCTCATGCTGCCACTCCTTGTCCCTACTCCTCACACCATCTGTGCTAACCCTCCCCTTTGCTGCTATCCCCGAGTTCTGCAGGTCATGGTGTTTGTTTTTGCCGGCCTGCTTCGCCAGCCCCAGATGAATGCAGTTCGTGCCTATCTTGGATGTTACCTCCTGTGCTCCCAGCCACAGGGGCACGCTGAGCGGTCCCTCCGGGAGCTGAAGAAGATGACGTCCCGGTACTAATACCATGCATGTAAACCCCTCTGCATGGGATGAATGTTTGGCTACTGTAAATGTGCTCTTGTAGTAGGCAATCTGGTAAGGATGTTGCTGCTAAACTTTTATAGGAAAGAATCTAGAGTAGGAAAGCCATATGAATAAGTAGACTCTGATGTGTTTGCACGTGTTGTCATTCCCCACTCCCATCAGGCTGGTTGACCAGTTGCAGGCTGCCTTTCCAAAGCAGCCATCCTCTTGGTGCCTTGTGAAAACCCATCTCATGTCGCATTACGTCGACTCCATTCGTCGAGCGGGTCATGTGACCGAATTCAGCACCAACATGTTTGAGCACTTGCACGGACCGTTGGTAAAGAGGATCTACCGTCGGTACAACAAGCGCAATGTAGATGGGCAGATCATGAAGTTCCATGTTAGGCGCATTCCGGATGTGGTGCCGGTGGACGATCCTGCTGGCCGGGACACAGCCATGCGGCAGGTAAACACGTTTAGTAATTGAATTGCATGGATATGAATGCAGAATGTAATAAAATCCTTATCATATGTTGGCAGGCAATTGAGACCGACACACCGACTCTTATTAAGGAGTCATACTTCCTCCCTGTGGAGTTACCAGAAGAACCCACCTCCACCAACTGGATTGCAAGGAAGTGGGCCAAGCAACACCCTGGTGCCCAAGCTGCCCTCAAGGATGCGTTAATACGTTATGCCGGATGCGTCGTCACCAAGATTCGAGTAAGTACTTGAATGTTTTGTGCAATCAACCATCATTTGACAGGCCAGTATCAGTAATGACTACCACCAATTGTTATGCAGGCCCATGCATCGCTGGCAATCCCTGCGGCGGACGACGCCAGCTTCTCAAGAGTTTCTCACTTTGTTCGAGCGACTCCTGACTATTTTGAGAGGCCATGGTACTCGGATGTTGCAGTGGAGGGTGTAAGGTATGGTCGGAGAGAGGAGTGGTATGCAAGGTTACTTCTGTTGTTTCATACAAAAATACGTGGAGAGAGGGAGGAGCTGGCGTACATTAGATATTGGAATGCAAGCGGAGAGGATGCTGCAACAGGATGCCTTCGCCTCAACTGGACGACAGGAATGTATGCGTACTCCGTGATTCCGATTGAAGCGCTGCTCCGCCACGTCCATGTGGTGAAGGCATTCCATATGGACAGTACCTATCTCCTTAATAAGTATCAAATGTGATGCATGTATCTTGTAATAAAATGGCCAGCATGTTTTCCAGCAGTCACCTTTTATAGAAGTCAAAGCTAAAAAAACCAATTACAAATTTACAACCAATTTGGCACGCTCCAAATAAACGACAATGTACCGGAGTCGCGAATTCGATTTCGACTCTGACAAACAAACGCGTTCCGATTTCATCCCGTGATTGGTCGCGTTTTTGTTTCGGAACTTCGCCAACCAAAACACCTGAACTGTACCCCCCTTCGAACCCCTTCAAAAACACTGGTTTTTTGTGATGTACACAATATAAGCTATACAATATTTTGACAATATGTACATCTTTTAATAGGTTCTTACGTAGACTATAAAACTCTTGTATCTTTTCATTATTATATCATTCTTGTTCTAACAATCTACCAGCACTGGAATTCAAGTCTTCCGCTGCAATAATTTACAGAGACTAACCTCTTAAAGATCGTAAGGCTTTTCTCAGCCCAGCATAATCTACTATTGAATATACTGCCGGCAGCCAGACCCAACATTTTCACAGAAACAGATGAAACATCACCGACTCGTTCTGGCTTTGCACCAAGGTGCTAAACTAGGTGCTATCTAGTCCTCATCGTCCCCTGCGTCCCATTGATCACACCCCTCTCCGTCATAGCGACCGAGGCGCCACCAGTCATCATCGTCATCGCTGCACTCTCCCGCCTCCTCGCCTTCTGCATGCCCATCCCCCTCCTCCTCTGCCGTCGCCGCCTCCGCCTCCTCCTCTGCGACGTCTTCCTCCTCTTCTGCCTGCAGCTCCTCGGCCAGCATGGGGACTTCGACGCTGAAGAGGTTGACGACACTCTCGTCGTCAACCATCTCGTTGACCTCGTGAAGCACCTCCACCTCACCCTTGTCCCACAAATGAGCAAGGATGAGGTGGTCTTAGGTGCCGTCGATGCTGGTGGAGATCCCGCAGGTGACGAACGATTTCGTCACGAGCTCCTCTGGGACGACTTCCCAAAACTCGTCGATCCAGCGGAGAACCATCTCCGCAGGCGGCTTTTGCAGGTTACCTGAAGGAAGGGAAGGGGTTCAGAATCACGAAGATTCGCAGAGCGTGCGCAGTCACTATAACGAAGTTTGCGTAAACAGAACTCATGGCTTCAACTCACCTTCGCGAGTGGTCAGGTTGATGCCGTCTTCTTTGAACCAGGTGCTATATCGATGATGCACACCGCACTTGAACGCGCGGTTCACCGACACATCCAGAGGCTGCACAAGCAGTGTGCAGCCCCCTGGGATGACCGCCCTCGACACCCTAAACATTCACATCATCTGACCGACAGCATGTGTCAAGTGGCCGCGGTAGGAGTCCAGTACCACCAAGGCCTCCTTGCGGCGTCCCGCAGGGGCTTCAGAAATGGCACAAGCACTTGAGTGATCCACTCATGCTCTACATTCGCCACCCTTCAATCCCATCTCTTACGTGGTCCGCTAGGTTTGATCCGCCATGGACACGCTTCCCGGTGATCTCCTCTACGCCATCCTACGCCGCGCCGAGCCAACAGGGCCTCATGTATTACTAGCGCAGATGGCGTGCCTTTCGAAGACACTTAATCGCATGGCAAACGAGTCCCTGTGGCAGCTGCACTGCCAGAAAAGGCTTTCTGAGATTTTTGAGGACCGACTTCGGGTTGAGAATTTGGACGGCGACGAGGCGTATGAAGCATGCTTGCGCAAACAATTTCGGAGCATGCAGGAGCAAATGGACGGGGTGGACTTTTCGAGCCCTCGCACGAGTTATCCACTGGTGCCCAGGCGTGATAAGGGGGTGGCGAAATACAGAAAACGGGCAGGAACGCGACAGTGATAAGCCGCACATGCGCTTGCATGGGCCTGGCTTTGGTTTCATATCTTTTGATAGCATTTCCGTGACCAATTGGTGCTTCTGCCATCGAGATGCACTGGACCAAACCGATAAGTCGCAACTTAAACAAGGACTTTATGTTGGCGCCAAATTTGACCTGTAAGGCCACCTCTTCTACTCGCTCTTTCTTCCAAGTGCTCTGCTGCGTTATCCTCATCTTTCTCTGAAACGGTCTTGTTTATTGAATTAATAAGGTATGTAGAGCAAAGCAAACATGGTAAGCCGTGCAATTCTATCAAGGACTAGGCGACACTACTTGGACGGCTAGGCTTGCAGCTAGGTGCAGGGGTGCCACGGGTAATGGCTAGGGAGAAAGGGAGGAGGGAGGAGCGCGAGAGAACTGGGGTATGGGGATGGCAAGCTTGGCTTTTACACCAACCAGACAGCCTGTCAATCAAATATCAGGCCATTAGGGCGCCATTGGTGGTGTCGGGCCCAGGGGCCATTGTGACTTGAAGGGTCTTGGGCCTCCTGGACCTAGAGAAGGTCCTTAATGAGCCACATGTTGTTTGCTGTTTGGGATTTGCTTTTGCTATTAGTGAAGAGACCACAATCCAGAGGTTTATTTCTGAAGAAGGATTGTTACTCCTTTTATCTTCTCACGGTATCCTTTTTCTTGCCATCAGGTGGTATTATATACAAACCGGTCGCTCCTTCGTGCAAGACGAGTCCTGCCCTTTCTGCTCTTCTAAGGTGTGTCTGGTTCATTATCTTGTTCGATTGCAATAGACAAATCACAGCAGACTACTGTTAAGAAGAGAAGAGCCAGAATCTTCCCCATCTATGTTTTGTTTTTTTCGCTTTCCCATTTTGAACAAGTAGAGGCACTGCCTGAATCGTTTGGCAGGTCTGGGACACCAGTGCAGAAATGTTTCGACACTTGGATGTGAACAACAGTGGATCCAACACCGAAAGGACCATGCGGTCCCCAATCGCCGTTAGATATACCTGTACCGAGGTGCGTCCTGCCTGCAACCCCACCCCAGTAACATGGCTTTTCTCTCTGTTGGTAGCATACTTTCGGAAGGTGGAACAGTTTAGAGTGTGAACCACTTTGAAGTAAGGACATTTTACACAACGCCCTGTGTGCCTGGCCGTAAATCCTATTGCAGGGACACTTTTACTCAACTGAAAGCGCGTATTACATCAATAAAGTGAGAGAAGTTACTACAGGACCAGTGGCAGCAGACGAGGGAAGGGACGTCAACGAGGGGAGGGAGGAGGGGATGGACGAGGGGGCGCTGCGAAGCATCATGGAGGATGGGAATCGCGACGAGGAAGCTGGCATCAGTTACCATGCCAACCATGTGAGTCCAATCTCTAGCTTACCATGCCAACAATGTGAGTCCAATCTCTAGCTTACCATGCCATGCATGGAGGGAGGATGGGGATCGCGATGAAGAAGGTAGGTACTGCTGCTTTTATAAAACGACTTGGTTTCCAGAATTCTCGTAGATGTTTTTTGTGAAAAAATCTCTGCGACTCTCCATTTCTGCCCACACCGCTGGAGCTGCTGGTAGGTATACCCTGTACTCATTTTCGCATACCCAGATGCGTTCGGTTGTAAGTACGTGGTGCTATCAACTCTCATGGAACGCACGGCATGCACGTCATTCTTGATTACAAGATCAAAACTCATCCTTCTTTTTTATTCTCGTTTTCCCTTACCTTGCGTTCTCTCTTCCCTTCCCATTCTTCTTTTCCCGAGGGCCAGTCTGCAATTGCAGCGTCAAACTTGGGGGCGCCTTCAGCTGCAAGCAGTCATGCGCCCGCTGCTGCTCCTCCTGCCGACCCTCTTGATGCTCCTCTGGCCGATCCTCTCGCTTCTCCTCATGCCAACTTTCTTGATGTTCCTCCGGCCGATCCTCTCGCTTCTCCTCATGCCGACCCTCTTGCTGCTCCTCCTGCTGCCACTACAGCCATTCGTGTCGCGGCTGCTACAGCTGTTCGGGCTATATCCGTTGTGAGTCCTGCGACGCCCTCTCGTGCCTATCGCACTGCTGCATCAACTGTCCGGCATGCTGCCGCCTCTTCAGGTAACCACCATCCCATTGAAGGGGAAAGGAGGGGAGGTTGGCAGGGTCGGTCATGAGATGTGGGGGGGGGGGGGGTATGGCAGAGGGTTTTGAGGGAAGCTAGGCAGGGATGGGGGAGGGCATGCAGGCAGAGAGGGGAGAGGGGGCTGGGATGGACGGGGATGGTTGGCAGAGAGAGAGGGGAAGAGGCTGGCAGGGAGAGGGGAACGTTGCCAGCGAGGGAGTACGAAGGTTGGTAGAGATTGCGGTGGGGAGGGGGGAGGGAAGGGGGGGGGATGGACCCTTGCAATGATTCGGATGGGGAAGGTTGGCAGAGGGGATAAGGTGGGCACAGAGGAGAACGTGGGCAGGGAGGGGGGAGATGTCAGCAAAGCGGTTGGGAGATAATGGTTGGTAGATTGCGTGAGAAAAGGTTGGCAGAGTGGGGGGGAGTTTGGCTGAGGGAGTGTGGGAGGTTGGGAGAGAGCGGGAGGGAGGTTGGCAGGAAGGGGTTAGGAAGCCTGGCAGGGGAGGGGGGGAAGGTTGGGAGAGTAAAAATGGGGGAGGTGGCAGAGGGAGAGGGGAAAGTGGCAGAAAGAGCGGGGGAAGGTGGCAGAGAGAAAGAGAGGAAAGGGCAGAGAGACAGCGGGGGAAAGGTTGGCAGGGGGAGAGGTTGGCAAGCGGTCAGCTGTGAGGGGGGCGCTACAAACTGGCAGGGAGAGGGGCGAGCAGGGCAGAAGTGGGAGAGAAGGCTGGCAGGGAGGGAGGGAGGGGGGAGAGGAGAGAGGAAGTGAGAGCCTGGGATGGATGGATGGATGGATGGGATTTGAATGTCTGTGCTGTTTTTCACCATGGTGCCAGAAAGCGGGCTCTGCTGTTGTCGGCTTGTCATCCCACGGCAATCACATTTTTAGTCTCCAGTTCCTACAAAAACTGAATGAGCTTGGCAAGTGCAATATTCTCTTGTGTTGTGATTTCCTTTTTTGCCCCACGCTTTTCCCCAAAATCCCCACGTTTCGTAACGAGTGACTGTGTCTTGTGTTCTCATTCTTGTTTTCACGCTTGTGCCCTTGCTCCCGTCTTCCACCCCCATGCTACAGCCCATGTTTCTCGCCTTCCCTCTCAACGTGTTGCATCTGCCGCTTCCACTCGCAATACACCCATAACCATAACTACGCCTTGCACCTCGATTCGAGCTGCTTCCCACACAGCCGCCCGGTCTGCTTTGGCGCCTCACACAACTGGCATCACTGCCAACCGCATCACAAGACGCACGGCCACCCGCACCACCGGCGCCACTACCACCCGCACCACCAGCACCACACGCGTCCGCACTAACAGAACTATTGCCGCTCGCACTAACAGCACAACTGGAGCCTGCACCACTGCCACCCGTATTACCGGCACAACTACCGTCCGCACCACTCAATCCATTCCCCCTCACACTACCAGCACCGCTGCCATCTTCACCAATGGCTCCTCTGCTCCCTGCGCCACTGGTACTTCTGCCGCCCGCACCAACAGCACCACTGCCGCCCGCGTCGCCGACACCATTGCCGCCCGCACCACCAGCAGCACTGCAGGCCGCACTAACAGCACCACTGCCACTGGCACCACAGACACAGTGACTTGTTACGGAGTGGCAGCTGCCTCTCGTGCCACACGGTCTGGCTGGAGCAGTCCGTTTTCCGCTGCCGATTCGCGCGCCAATGCGTGTATTACTGGAGGTAAGGCTCGGGCATGTGTGTCCGTGTGTGCAGTCTCAAGCACTGGAGGTAATCCTCGGGCATGCTGGTCGTGGTGGTGGTGCATGTGAAGATAAGGCACTACAAGACAAGGGGAACTTAGGAGGGCCTTCAAGGCGAAATGAGAGGTTTTCCTTCCATGTGCTTGAAAATTCACTTCCATCTCTCAGTGCATGCCGTCCTCCTCAACCCTGTGCATGCATCTAATCCACAACTGAATGGTGGGCAACCATCCCTTGCAGCTCGATTTATCAGTCCATCAAGCCATCCTTACAACTCTCTTGATAAAAGTGTAGTTTTGAGACGTCTCAAAACTACACTTTTATCACGTCATTTATCAGTCCATCAAGCCATCCTTACAACTCTCTTGTTTTCCATTACCTCGTGGCTCAAACAGTTTCCTCTTTTCCATTACCTCTTGCTGTTACACCATGCGATAAATCAAGCCATCGATATAACAAGGAAATTACCATCATAATGCAACGTGTAGAAAATCCAGGGAATGTTTGAGTTTTCAGGGGAATTTAAAATGTCTAGGGCCTTCTAAAAGAACCCAGGGGCTAAAACCCATGTGAAAATTTTGGTTCCAACCAATCTTGGTAAGAAACATAATAATTGGTTGCAGGATTCAAACTACCGGTATGTAAACCCACTGGTAGGTAACTAGAACCACTTGAGGCGTACCGTACAGTACGGTACATCCTCCTGGCTCATGCACAAGGCTTTGCCATGCATGCAGCCATACAAGGTATGATGAAGAATCTTCCCTCATTGCCTTAGCGCCCCTTCTTTGGCACGACTCGAAGGCGCTTGTAAGCCATCACTGACGTGGCTGTGAAGAGAGAAAACCTGAGCAGAACGGAAACAAAAATAAATGGAGAGTTCACAGTTACACGCCACCCAGAAAGACAGAAGCCAGCAATTGGACGTACAGCATGTAAGTTGAGATGAGCATCAAATGTACCTAACTCAGATGAGTAATCATAACAGGGCATAGATTATTTGGCGGCGGAACACTCACCAGGTAGCAGCGTAGGTGATGTGATCAGCAGGCATGACTGCCAGCTTCACGAGCTCCTCCGGGTCCTTGGGGCGAGGGAAGCGAGGGTCGCTGTGAAACACAGGGCACACACCCGCCTGCCCGCTGCTGCTGCTGTCGCTGCTGCTGCTGCCGGTGCTCTCAGATGCATTTTCTTCTCCTTCCTCTGTTGGTTTCATGGCGTCCAATAGCAGAGTGCCACGTGGCAGGCCACATGCCTGTGCCATAGCAGGCACGTCCACCCAGAACCACTCCCCGTGCTTCGGCGCGTTAGGCGGCACAAAGTGGTTCGGCTTCTCGCTGGCTCGCACCACACCAGACACACGGATCACAGGGGTAGGATTTGGCTGCGTGGAAGGGAGGAAGGAGATGGGAAGGAAAATAGCTCTTGTTTGATGAGCAAGTCGTGAGTGGTCAAGGGCGTTGGACAGCACTGGATACTTGAGTGTTCTTGCTGGCTCGCACCACACTTGACACACAGATCACAGGGGGAGTAATTGTGGAAGAGAGGAGGAGGAGGAGGAGGAGGAGGAGGAAAGATATATTTAACCGTAGATCTTTGATGATCCGGGGTAGATTTAACCGTAGATCTTGGATGATCCGGGGTAGATTTAACCGGAGATCTTGGATGATCCGCGGCGTTGGGTGCAACCAAGTGGTTTAACTTCTCGTTGGCTGGACCAGTCCAATAACATTGGATCACAACGGGTGTGGTTGGGCGAGTTGGGATCACAGTGGGGACATTCACCGGCGTGGAAGAGGACAGATGGGGAGGAACAGAGCAACAAAGCGAATGACAGCCCAGAACCACTCCTATCTTATGTTCTGGGTCGTTGGGTGGCACGGTGTGCTTGGGTCATTGGGTGGCACTGTGTGCTCGAAATCACTTGTGAGATTGCTCAATCACTGTGCTAGTGTCGGGCTCCCCGCTGCCTCCACCATGATCATGCCACCCTCGTCAGAATATGATCTGATTTGATCTGATCTGATCTGATCTGCTTTGAATACGAGCCTCACCTTGCTGGCTGCCGTCGCTGCTTCTGTTGAAGCCCGCCCTTTTCCAAACCAACTCCTGCTGCTGCTACCCTTCACACTAACGCTGCTGCCACTGCTGCTGCTTCCGCCACCGCTCTCAACCTCCCCCTTACCCACCTCGCCTGCGCCTCCCCTCGCCATCTCGCCCGCCATCCACTCGTCTGCCTCTCGCCTCACTGCCTCGGGCACCCACCCTCTGTTCACCAGCACTGCTGGCTGCTGGCTGGATGCGGGAGAAGGGAAAAGAGGCGAGCAGTCAGGAGGAGTGGGGGAGAGCAGTCAGGAGAAGCACTTCACATGCACGTTTCGCCTCACTGCCTCAGGCACCCACCCTCTGTTCACCAGCACTGCTGGCTGCTGGCTGCATGGGGGGATGGGGAAAGAGGCGATGGGGGGGATGGGGGAGCAGTGGGGAAAAGAACAGTCAGGAGGAGCACTTGACATGCGAGATTCGCCTCACTGCCTCGGGCACCCGCCCTCTTTTCACCAGCACTGCTGGCTGCATGGGCAGGGGAATGGCGGGACAAAGAGGGGAATGGGGGAAGGGAGGAATGAGGGGCAGCAGGGAGGGGGGGGAGCGAGGGGAGAGAGGAAGAGCAGGCGACAGTGACTCACGCTTAACTGCCTCAGGCAACCACCCTCTATTCCGGTTGCTGGCAGTGGGGAGAACAGGAGAATGGGGGAAATGTGGAATGGGGAATAGAGAATGGAGAATGGGGGAACGAGGGGTAGCAGCAGGGAGGAGGGGAAGCAAGGAGAGACAAGGACAGAGGAAAGAGTAGGGGAGGAAGCGAGGCAACTCCACTGGCTTTTCGAGACATGGAGCTCTCCCGATGGCACCACGTGGTGCACCAGCGCCATGTGTGAGATGAGATGAGATGAGATGAGATGAGATGAGATGAGATGAGATGAGATGAGATGAGATGAGATGAGATGAGATGAGATGACATGAGATGAGATGAGATGAGATGACATGAGATGAGATGAGATGAGATGAGATGAGATGACATGAGATGAGATGAGATGAGATGAGATGAGATGAGATGAGATGAGATGAGATGAGATGAGATGAGATGAGATGAGATGACATGAGATGAGATGAGATGAGATGAGATGACATGAGATGAGATGAGATGAGATGAGATGAGATGAGATGAGATGAGATGAGATGAGATGAGATGAGATGAGATGAGATGAGATGAGATGAGATGAGATGAGATGAGATGAGATGAGATGAGATGAGATGAGATGAGATGAGATGAGATGGGATGGGATGGGATGAGATGACATGAGATGAGATGAGATGAGATGAGATGACATGAGATGAGATGAGATGACATGAGATGAGATGAGATGAGATGAGATGAGATGAGATGAGATGAGATGAGATGAGAAGAGATGAGATGAGATGAGATGAGATGAGATGAGATGAGAAGAGAAGAGAAGAGATGAGATGAGATGAGATGAGAAGAGATGAGATGAGATGAGATGAGATGAGAAGAGATGAGATGAGATGAGATGAGATGAGATGAGATGAGATGAGATGAGATGAGATGAGATGAGATGAGATGAGATGACATGAGATGAGATGAGATGAGATGAGATGAGATGAGATGAGATGAGATGAGATGAGATGAGATGAGATGAGATGAGATGAGATGAGATGAGATGAGATGAGATGAGATGAGATGAGATGAGATGTGATGAGATGAGATGAGATGAGATGAGATGAGATGAGATGAGATGAGATGAGATGAGATGAGATGAGATGAGATGAGATGACATGAGATGAGATGACATGAGATGAGATGAGATGAGATGAGATGAGATGAGATGAGATGAGATGAGATGAGATGAGATGAGATGAGATGAGATGAGATGAGATGAGATGACATGAGATGAGATGAGATGAGATGAGATGAGATGAGATGAGATGAGATGAGATGAGATGAGATGAGATGAGATGAGATGAGATGAGATGAGATGAGATGAGATGAGATGAGATGAGATGAGATGAGATGAGATGACATGAGATGAGATGAGATGAGATGAGATGAGATGAGATGAGATGAGATGAGATGAGATGAGATGAGATGAGATGAGATGAGATGACATGAGATGACATGAGATGAGATGAGATGAGATGAGATGAGATGAGATGAGATGAGATGAGATGAGATGAGATGAGATGAGATGAGATGAGATGAGATGAGATGAGATGACATGAGATGAGATGAGATGAGATGAGATGAGATGAGATGAGATGAGATGAGATGAGATGAGATGAGATGAGATGACATGAGATGAGATGAGATGAGATGAGATGAGATGAGATGAGATGAGATGAGATGAGATGAGATGAGATGAGATGAGATGAGATGAGATGACATGAGATGAGATGAGATGAGATGAGATGAGATGAGATGAGATGAGATGACATGAGATGAGATGAGATGAGATGAGATGAGATGAGATGAGATGAGATGAGATGAGATGAGATGAGATGAGATGAGATGACATGAGATGAGATGAGATGAGATGAGATGAGATGAGATGAGATGGGATGAGATGAGATGAGATGACATGAGATGAGATGAGATGAGATGAGATGACATGAGATGAGATAAGATGAGATGAGATGAGATGAGATGAGATGAGATGAGATGAGAGATGAGATGACATGAGATGAGATGAGATGAGATGAGATGAGATGAGATGAGATGAGATGAGATGAGATGAGATGAGATGAGATGAGATGAGATGAGATGACATGAGATGAGATGAGATGAGATGAGATGAGATGAGATGAGATGAGATGAGATGAGATGAGATGAGATGAGATGAGATGAGATGAGATGAGATGAGATGAGATGAGATGAGATGAGATGAGATGAGATGACATGAGATGAGATGAGATGAGATGAGATGAGATGAGATGAGATGAGATGAGATGAGATGAGATGAGATGAGATGAGATGAGATGACATGAGATGACATGAGATGAGATGAGATGAGATGAGATGAGATGAGATGAGATGAGATGAGATGAGATGAGATGAGATGAGATGAGATGAGATGAGATGAGATGAGATGAGATGAGATGAGATGAGATGACATGAGATGAGATGAGATGAGATGAGATGACATGAGATGAGATGAGATGAGATGAGATGAGATGAGATGAGATGATGACATGAGATGAGATGAGATGAGATGAGATGAGATGAGATGAGATGAGATGAGATGAGATGAGATGAGATGAGATGAGATGAGATGAGATGAGATGAGATGAGATGAGATGGGATGGGATGGGATGAGATGACATGAGATGAGATGAGATGAGATGAGATGACATGAGATGAGATGAGATGACATGAGATGAGATGAGATGAGATGAGATGAGATGAGATGAGATGAGATGAGATGAGATGAGATGAGAAGAGATGAGATGAGATGAGATGAGATGAGATGAGATGAGAAGAGAAGAGATGAGATGAGATGAGATGAGAAGAGATGAGATGAGATGAGATGAGATGAGAAGAGATGAGATGAGATGAGATGAGATGAGATGAGATGAGATGAGATGAGATGAGATGAGATGACATGAGATGAGATGACATGAGATGAGATGAGATGAGATGAGATGAGATGAGATGAGATGAGATGAGATGAGATGAGATGAGATGAGATGAGATGAGATGAGATGAGATGAGATGAGATGAGATGAGATGAGATGAGATGAGATGAGATGAGATGAGATGAGATGAGATGAGATGAGATGAGATGAGATGAGATGAGATGAGATGAGATGAGATGACATGAGATGAGATGACATGAGATGAGATGAGATGAGATGAGATGAGATGAGATGAGATGAGATGAGATGAGATGAGATGAGATGAGATGAGATGAGATGAGATGAGATGAGATGACATGAGATGAGATGAGATGAGATGAGATGAGATGAGATGAGATGAGATGAGATGAGATGAGATGAGATGAGATGAGATGAGATGAGATGAGATGAGATGAGATGAGATGAGATGAGATGAGATGAGATGAGATGAGATGACATGAGATGAGATGAGATGAGATGAGATGAGATGAGATGAGATGAGATGAGATGAGATGAGATGAGATGAGATGAGATGAGATGACATGAGATGACATGAGATGAGATGAGATGAGATGAGATGAGATGAGATGAGATGAGATGAGATGAGATGAGATGAGATGAGATGAGATGAGATGAGATGAGATGAGATGAGATGAGATGAGATGAGATGAGATGATGAGATGAGATGAGATGAGATGAGATGAGATGAGATGAGATGAGATGAGATGAGATGAGATGAGATGAGATGAGATGAGATGAGATGAGATGAGATGACATGAGATGAGATGAGATGAGATGAGATGAGATGAGATGAGATGAGATGAGATGAGATGAGATGAGATGAGATGAGATGAGATGAGATGAGATGACATGAGATGAGATGAGATGAGATGAGATGAGATGAGATGAGATGAGATGACATGAGATGAGATGAGATGAGATGAGATGAGATGAGATGAGATGAGATGAGATGAGATGAGATGAGATGAGATGAGATGACATGAGATGAGATGAGATGAGATGAGATGAGATGAGATGAGATGAGATGAGATGAGATGAGATGAGATGAGATGAGATGAGATGAGATGAGATGAGATGAGATGAGATGAGATGAGATGAGATGAGATGACATGAGATGAGATGAGATGAGATGAGATGAGATGAGATGAGATGGGATGAGATGAGATGAGATGACATGAGATGAGATGAGATGAGATGAGATGACATGAGATGAGATGAGATGAGATGAGATGAGATGAGATGAGATGAGATGAGATGAGATGAGATGAGATGAGATGAGATGAGATGAGATGAGATGAGATGAGATGAGATGAGATGAGATGAGAAGAGAAGAGATGAGATGAGATGAGAAGAGATGAGATGAGATGAGATGAGATGAGATGAGATGAGATGAGATGAGATGAGATGAGATGAGATGAGATGAGATGAGATGAGATGAGATGAGATGAGATGAGATGAGATGAGATGAGATGAGATGAGATGAGATGAGATGAGATGAGATGAGATGACATGACATGAGATGAGATGAGATGAGATGAGATGAGATGAGATGAGATGAGATGAGATGAGATGAGATGAGATGAGATGAGATGAGATGAGATGAGATGACATGCGATGAGATGAGATGAGATGAGATGAGATGAGATGAGATGAGATGAGATGAGATGAGATGAGATGAGATGAGATGAGATGAGATGACATGAGATGAGATGAGATGAGATGAGATGAGATGAGATGAGATGAGATGAGATGACATGAGATGAGATGAGATGAGATGAGATGAGATGAGATGAGATGAGATGAGATGAGATGAGATGAGATGAGATGACATGAGATGAGATGAGATGAGATGAGATGAGATGACATGAGATGAGCAGCACTCGGGAGGAACATGGCTCTCGCTTCACTGCGTCTGGGGATGGAGACAAAACCAGGGGAAAAGAGTGCGATGATTGGGGCAAGGAGCGAGAGAACGTCTCAGGCTTTCAGAGGCATGCCGCTCGGCACAGGGCATTGACACATGCGTGGGCCCTCTAGCATAAACTCACCTGCCCTCACTGGAGCAAACCATTTCGATTACAGTTTGAAAAGTGCATATGCATACCTGTCAGCAGCGTGCGGCAGTGGCGTGACAAGAACGTTCCCTTTCTCCTGTACGCCTCTCACGGCATGCAAGGGGAGTGATTCATTCACGGGGCGAATGGGCATACCTGCCAGCGGGAGGCAGCAGCGGAGTGACGAGGAAGTACCCTTTCTCCTGTGCGCCCCGCAAGGCTGATGTGATAATTTGACGGGGGGGATGAGCTTACACATACCTGCCAGCATGTGGCAGCAGTGGCGTGACAAGGAAGTACCCCTTCTCCTGCGCGCCCCTCACTGTGTGTGCCCGCGGTGGCATGCAAGACGAGTGCTTTACTGACGGGGCGAATGGGCATACCTGCCAGGGGGGGGCATGAGCGGCATGACAAGGAAGTACCCCTTCTCCTGGGCACCCCTGCCCAGCCAAACACCTGCCATAACTACAGTGAAAAGTGCCCTCCTTGCCCTGTCAACCACTCACCTGCCAGATGGAGGGATGAGCGGAGTGACAAGGAAGTACCCTTTCTCCTGCGCACCCCTCACTGTGTGCGCCCGGGGCCCCACAAACAGCGACCGTGCATCGTCGTACCGCCCCGCACACTCCACCCGCCGGAACTCCAGCTCCCCTGCTGCCCACCCAGGCCCGTTTCCTGCCGAACCAGACCCGTCTGCTGCCGAGCCAGGCCCACGAGACCCATCAGCAGCTGCAGGAGCGGCCGCTGGAGTGGCAGACGGTGGCGGCAGCAGGGGCAGTGCGGTTTCCTCCCCGGTGGCGAGAGCGTGTGCCTGCAGGGCGTCCAGCAACGGCACTGGCGGCTCCTGCAGGCGCTGCTGCCGGCGCCCCACCAGGTCGAGCTGGAGGGATGGTTGAAAGCGAGAGCGTGCGGGGTAAATGGAGAAATGATCATGCGGATTAGGCCGGCACCAGCCCAGGCCCGGGCGACCTAGTGGCTTCCTCCCCGATGGCAAGCGCAGCGCATGTGCCTCAAGGCTGAAGGCTGAAGGGCGTCCAGCAGAGGTACTGGCGCCTCCTACAGGCACTGCTGCAGCCGCCTCACAAGGTGCAGCTGGGGGGATGGGCGGGGAGCAAAGCAAGGACAGGCGGAAACGGGATGGATGAGCGTGCCGATCAGGCCGAGAGCAGCCCATGTCACCCCGACCTGGTGGCTTTCTCCCCAGGGGCTTCCAGCAGCGGCACTGGTGCCTCCTGCAGGCGCTGCTGCTGCCGCCCCACCAGGTCGAGCTGACGTATTTGCAAGGAGGGCTCATACCGCCTCCTTGTGGGGAGCAAAAAGGGTGGGAAAGGGATGCATGGGCATGAGGATTAGGCTTACAGGAGATGGGTTGACGTGGAGGACTGCGGCGGCAGGAGATGGGGCGAGAGTGGAGTAATGGGCATAATAATGGGCCTATTATGGGCATAGTAACGGAGACCATGATAATGGGAATAATAAAGGGCATGAATGAATCTAGCAGCCACATAGCTTCTTCAGTAATTCCATCGGCATCCGTGCACCTTCCACGCACCTTCCAGTAGTAGCGCTGAATCTGCCACGCCCCGAGGCCAAAGGCAGTGGCACACGGCAGCAGCAGCAGCGCTACCGCCAGCCACGAACGCCTTTGGGGGGATGCAGGTGCTGCTGGTGCTGCTCGTGGTGGGAGAGGGGGATGAGAAAGCAGGGAGAAGCAAGGACAAACAAGGGAGAGAAATGAGGGAGGGGAAGGAGTCAGCAAGAACAGCAGCGGCAGCAGCGGGGTTGGCGGCGGCAGCAGCAGTGCCGTTGACCGTTGTGGCTGGGATGGTGGCATGGCATGGCACGAGAGAATGGTGTGAACAGTGGGAGGACGCGCACTGTCAATGCACCTGGTTCCCGATACTGATTCCAGATGTGAAAAGCACAGTTGGGGTTGGGGGGAGACATTCGCGATATTGTTGGCATTTGAGGGTTCTAAAAAAGCAATGCGCACTGTGCGGGCCGATGGTTCCAGGAGTCCTGAAAAGAGGAGTACAGTTGGCGGGAGGCACGCTCGTGTGGGGGAGGGCTGCTATGGGAGAATGGGCTTCTGGGGTCTGTGGAAATAGTGGGCGGAGGAGAATGGGGGTAAAGCGGGGAGGAGGGGAGGGAGGGAGGGAGGGAGGGAGGGAGGGAGGGAGGGAGGGAGGGAGGGAGGGAGGGAGGGAGGGAGGGAGGGAGGGGGGGGGGGAGGGAGGGAGGGAGGGAGGGAGGGAGGGAGGGGGGAGGGAGGGAGGGAGGGAGGGAGGGAGGGAGGGAGGGAGGGAGGGAGGGAGGGAGGGAGGGAGGGAGGGAGGGACGCAGCAGCCAGCAACTCTCACCTGTCCCTGCAGCAGCAGCAGCAGCAGCAGCAGCAGTCGACAGCAGGCGGGCAGGCAGGAGCGGCACCAGTTGGGCACACAAACTTGGTCTTTGAGGTAGTGCTAAACGGACGGCTGAGATCCCCTGCACAGCATCAACGACTGACGTGGCTCGGATGGCTACAAGGGGGCTCCACGTGTTGGAACCATCATGTGCTCTTGGAAGCAGTGCTGAGCCGCGGAGCAGCAGTTGCTGTGGCTGCGCTTGTGGTTGTGAATGGGGGTGGGGATAGGGATGGCTCAAAAGGGGCTTCACACGTTGCAGCTCGCGCTCCCGTGCTGCTGCACGGGGTGAAGCAGACGCTGCTGCTATAGGCCAGTGGATGCACTTTGCCCCGTCTGCGCCTTGCCACGGGGCCGCCGTGCCATGTTTCGCAGCAGTTGCTATCTCAAAAGGTGGGGTGTGAAAGCTCCCAAAAGGCCTTGCTGCTGCGGCAGCACGACCCGAGCTCGCATGGGTTCTTCTAGACTCACGGGACGCGCGCAGAAACCCGCGACACACGCGATGCAACGACATGCGCTGCTGCTGCTGCTGCTGCTGCTGCTGCTGCTGCTGCTGCTGTGCTGTGTTGTGTGGAGTGGAAAGGCGGTGGGAGGAAGTGTGCTGGGGGGTGGGAGGGAGAGCTGGGCGGTAGGGAGAGCTGGGCGAGACAAGCAACGTTTTCGAGTGCTGGGAGTGCTGCTGGATCGGCGGCCGCGCAGCGGCGTGCAAAGAGAGAGCCAACCACTCGCGCGTCCCGCGCGTCTCTCGGATACTCGGCCCGATTTCAGTGTCGTTGCGATCAGCGCGGCTTGTCGCCCTCGTCGCTTCTCAGTCGGGATCGTCGGGGATCGGTATGGTTGTCGGTCGTGGGACGATAGACGTGTCGCGAGGGGGAGAGATCAGGTGGCGAATACGAGGCCCGGGCGACGGGTAACGAGACAGGCGGGCGACGCGAGGTGGCGAGCGGTGTGCGAACAGCGGCTAGTAGCGCTGGCGCGTGAGTGAAGCTGCGAGCCCCTCGTGCGACGCGCGCGGGGGAGGCGCGGGGGAGGCGCGGAAGCGGTGCGGAACGGCGCGGATGCGCGTGGGTGAGATGGACAGGCGGTGGTGTTACTGCGGGGTAATGAAGGTGCGGGAGGGATACATAAGTTGGTCGGGCGGAGTTTGCGAAGCATGGTTCGGGTCAGTTGAGTTTCGAAAATGCAATTTGGTTTTGGTGTTCTTTGGTTCAGAGCGAATTCGTGTGGGAAGGGATCGTCGCTGGTGCGTTATGGAGGTTCATGTCGACGGCTCAAAGAAACCAGTTACCATATGGAAACACGCTCTCGTAGTAGCACCTGTTCCCCTTTCAGCACAAGACGCGTTTCTGCAACCCAACGGCTACTAGTTCGCGTCGCCTACTAGCGCCAGACCGTGGGCTCTGCCCTGCGAGCACTGGACGGATCGCGAGCGCTCGAAATTCATGTCCACCTTCTGAGCGACCTTTCTTCTCCTTGGTCACTCTCCTCTTTCGTCCGCTGTCGCGCTGTTTCACCTCCCCGCCTGTGTGCCGGACAGCGAGCAGACGTTCCTCGCGGCGGTTGCTGCTTAACCCTCTTCGTTGATTTTGCAGACGTTACAGCCTCTCTGGCCCGCGGGACGCGCCTCCACCTACTGTCGACGCACGCGACTGCCAGCGACTGTAGATGCAGCAGGCGAGCATCTGTGCGACGTGCGACGACCTGCAGCTGTCGCGACAGCCGGCGACGGCGGACCCGCTGGCGACGCTGTTGGGCGACGACGCGCGATGGTTCGGATGGTCGCCGGAGGGTCGCCTGCGATGTGTGCTGTCGCAGCACGAGTTCCCAATCCGCGCTGAACACGTGGCAGGTCTAGTCGCGGTCGCACAGTCGCAAAAAACGTCGCTTGAATCCCGCTGCGATTCGTCACAGCAGTCGCAGCCTCAACAGTCGCAGCCGCAGCTGTCGCAGGAGGCGTGGTCGCAGCAGCAGTGGCGATCCGTGCGACAGCACATGCGATCCAAGGCCTTCGCAGCAGCAGCGGCGGTGGCGGAGGCGGTGGAGAGAGCAGCGCCGCACATCGTGGCGTGCCCTCACGACAGGTGGAGGGGGGGAGAGGATAGGGGGATGGGAGCACACCCGCACGACAGGTGGGGGGGGGGGGGAGGGGCATGAGAGCATGCCTTTTTTCCAGTTAAGTTGGGAGACGGGGAGGGTGGGATATATGGCCCAGGCGGGGATGAGTGCATGGGCGGGGATGAGTGCATGGGCGGGGATGAGTGCATGGGCGGGGATGAGTGCATGGGCGGGGATGAGTGCATGGGCGGGGATGGTTGCATGGGCGGGGATGGTTGCATGGGCGGGGATGGTTGCATGGGCGGGGATGAGTGCATGGGCGGGGATGGTTGCATGGGCGGGGATGGTTGCATGGGCGGGGATGAGTGCATGGGCGGGGATGGTTGCATGGGCGGGGATGGTTGCATGGGCGGGGATGAGTGCATGGGCGGGGATGGTTGCATGGGCGGGGATGGTTGCATGGGCGGGGATGGTTGCATGGGCGGGGATGGTTGCATGGGCGGGGATGAGTGCATGGGCGGGGATGGTTGCATGGGCGGGGATGGTTGCATGGGCGGGGATGAGTGCATGGGCGGGGATGGTTGCATGGGCGGGGATGGTTGCATGGGCGGGGATGGTTGCATGGGCGGGGATGAGTGCATGGGCGGGGATGGTTGCATGGGCGGGGATGGTTGCATGGGCGGGGATGGTTGCATGGGCGGGGATGGTTGCATGGGCGGGGATGAGTGCATGGGCGGGGATGGTTGCATGGGCGGGGATGGTTGCATGGGCGGGGATGGTTGCATGGGCGGGGATGAGTGCATGGGCGGGGATGGTTGCATGGGCGGGGATGGTTGCATGGGCGGGGATGGTTGCATGGGCGGGGATGGTTGCATGGGCGGGGATGAGTGCATGGGCGGGGATGGTTGCATGGGCGGGGATGAGTGCATGGGCGGGGATGAGTGCATGGGCGGGGATGAGTGCATGGGCGGGGATGAGTGCATGGGCGGGGATGGTTGCATGGGCGGGGGATGGTTGCATGGGCGGGGATGGTTGCATGGGCGGGGATGAGTGCATGGGCGGGGATGGTTGCATGGGCGGGGATGGTTGCATGGGCGGGGATGAGTGCATGGGCGGGGATGGTTGCATGGGCGGGGATGGTTGCATGGGCGGGGATGGTTGCATGGGCGGGGATGGTTGCATGGGCGGGGATGAGTGCATGGGCGGGGATGGTTGCATGGGCGGGGATGGTTGCATGGGCGGGGATGGTTGCATGGGCGGGGATGAGTGCATGGGCGGGGATGGTTGCATGGGCGGGGATGGTTGCATGGGCGGGGATGGTTGCATGGGCGGGGATGGTTGCATGGGCGGGGATGAGTGCATGGGCGGGGATGGTTGCATGGGCGGGGATGAGTGCATGGGCGGGGATGAGTGCATGGGCGGGGATGAGTGCATGGGCGGGGATGGTTGCATGGGCGGGGATGGTTGCATGGGCGGGGATGGTTGCATGGGCGGGGATGAGTGCATGGGCGGGGATGGTTGCATGGGCGGGGATGGTTGCATGGGCGGGGATGAGTGCATGGGCGGGGATGGTTGCATGGGCGGGGATGGTTGCATGGGCGGGGATGGTTGCATGGGCGGGGATGAGTGCATGGGCGGGGATGGTTGCATGGGCGGGGATGGTTGCATGGGCGGGGATGGTTGCATGGGCGGGGATGGTTGCATGGGCGGGGATGAGTGCATGGGCGGGGATGGTTGCATGGGCGGGGATGGTTGCATGGGCGGGGATGGTTGCATGGGCGGGGATGAGTGCATGGGCGGGGATGGTTGCATGGGCGGGGATGGTTGCATGGGCGGGGATGGTTGCATGGGCGGGGATGGTTGCATGGGCGGGGATGAGTGCATGGGCGGGGATGGTTGCATGGGCGGGGATGAGTGCATGGGCGGGGGATGAGTGCATGGGCGGGGATGAGTGCATGGGCGGGGATGGTTGCATGGGCGGGGATGGTTGCATGGGCGGGGATGGTTGCATGGGCGGGGATGAGTGCATGGGCGGGATGGTTGCATGGGCGGGGATGGTTGCATGGGCGGGGATGAGTGCATGGGCGGGGATGGTTGCATGGGCGGGATGGTTGCATGGGCGGGGATGGTTGCATGGGCGGGGATGAGTGCATGGGCGGGGATGGTTGCATGGGCGGGGATGGTTGCATGGGCGGGGATGAGTGCATGGGCGGGGATGGTTGCATGGGCGGGGATGAGTGCATGGGCGGGGATGGTTGCATGGGCGGGGATGGTTGCATGGGCGGGGATGAGTGCATGGGCGGGGATGGTTGCATGGGCGGGGATGGTTGCATGGGCGGGGATGAGTGCATGGGCGGGATGGTTGCATGGGCGGGGATGGTTGCATGGGCGGGGATGGTTGCATGGGCGGGGATGAGTGCATGGGCGGGGATGGTTGCATGGGCGGGGATGGTTGCATGGGCGGGGATGGTTGCATGGGGCGGGGATGAGTGCATGGGCGGGGATGGTTGCATGGGCGGGGATGGTTGCATGGGCGGGGATGGTTGCATGGGCGGGGATGAGTGCATGGGCGGGGATGGTTGCATGGGCGGGGATGAGTGCATGGGCGGGGATGGTTGCATGGGCGGGGATGAGTGCATGGGCGGGGATGAGTGCATGGGCGGGGATGGTTGCATGGGCGGGGATGAGTGCATGGGCGGGGATGAGTGCATGGGCGGGGATGGTTGCATGGGCGGGGATGAGTGCATGGGCGGGGATGAGTGCATGGGCGGGGATGAGTGCATGGGCGGGGATGGTTGCATGGGCGGGGATGGTTGCATGGGCGGGGATGGTTGCATGGGCGGGGATGAGTGCATGGGCGGGGATGGTTGCATGGGCGGGGATGAGTGCATGGGCGGGGATGGTTGCATGGGCGGGGATGAGTGCATGGGCGGGGATGGTTGCATGGGCGGGGATGGTTGCATGGGCGGGGATGGTTGCATGGGCGGGGGATGAGTGCATGGGCGGGGATGGTTGCATGGGCGGGGATGAGTGCATGGCGGGGAGAGTGCATGGGCGATGAGTGCATGGGCGGGGATGAGTGCATGGGCGGGATGGTTGCATGGGCGGGGATGGTTGCATGGGCGGGGATGGTTGCATGGGCGGGGATGAGTGCATGGGCGGGGATGGTTGCATGGGCGGGGATGGTTGCATGGGCGGGGATGGTTGCATGGGCGGGGATGAGTGCATGGGCGGGGATGGTTGCATGGGCGGGGATGGTTGCATGGGCGGGGATGGTTGCATGGGCGGGGATGAGTGCATGGGCGGGGATGGTTGCATGGGCGGGGATGGTTGCATGGGCGGGGATGGTTGCATGGGCGGGGATGAGTGCATGGGCGGGGATGAGTGCATGGGCGGGGATGGTTGCATGGGCGGGGATGGTTGCATGGGCGGGGATGAGTGCATGGGCGGGGATGGTTGCATGGGCGGGGATGGTTGCATGGGCGGGGATGAGTGCATGGGCGGGGATGAGTGCATGGGCGGGGATGAGTGCATGGGCGGGGATGGTTGCATGGGCGGGGATGGTTGCATGGGCGGGGATGAGTGCATGGGCGGGGATGGTTGCATGGGCGGGGATGAGTGCATGGGCGGGGATGGTTGCATGGGCGGGGATGGTTGCATGGGCGGGGATGAGTGCATGGGCGGGGATGGTTGCATGGGCGGGGATGGTTGCATGGGCGGGGATGGTTGCATGGGCGGGGATGAGTGCATGGGCGGGGATGGTTGCATGGGCGGGGATGGTTGCATGGGCGGGGATGGTTGCATGGGCGGGGATGGTTGCATGGGCGGGGATGGTTGCATGGGCGGGGATGGTTGCATGGGCGGGGATGAGTGCATGGGCGGGGATGGTTGCATGGGCGGGGATGGTTGCATGGGCGGGGATGGTTGCATGGGCGGGGATGGTTGCATGGGCGGGGATGGTTGCATGGGCGGGGATGAGTGCATGGGCGGGGATGGTTGCATGGGCGGGGATGGTTGCATGGGCGGGGATGAGTGCATGGGCGGGGATGGTTGCATGGGCGGGGATGGTTGCATGGGCGGGGATGAGTGCATGGGCGGGGATGGTTGCATGGGCGGGGATGAGTGCATGGGCGGGGATGAGTGCATGGGCGGGGATGGTTGCATGGGCGGGGATGAGTGCATGGGCGGGGATGGTTGCATGGGCGGGGATGGTTGCATGGGCGGGGATGAGTGCATGGGCGGGGATGGTTTGCATGGGCGGGGATGAGTGCATGGGCGGGGATGGTTGCATGGGCGGGGATGGTTTGCATGGGCGGGGATGGTTGCATGGGCGGGGGATGGTTGCATGGGCGGGGATGAGTGCATGGGCGGGGATGGTTGCATGGGCGGGGATGAGTGCATGGGCGGGGATGGTTGCATGGGCGGGGATGGTTGCATGGGCGGGGATGAGTGCATGGGCGGGGATGGTTGCATGGGCGGGGATGGTTGCATGGGCGGGGATGGTTGCATGGGCGGGGATGAGTGCATGGGCGGGGATGGTTGCATGGGCGGGGATGGTTTGCATGGGCGGGGATGGTTGCATGGGCGGGGATGGTTGCATGGCGGGGATGAGTGCATGGGCGGGGATGAGTGCATGGGCGGGGATGGTTGCATGGGCGGGGATGAGTGCATGGGCGGGGATGGTTGCATGGGCGGGGATGGTTGCATGGGCGGGGATGAGTGCATGGGCGGGGATGAGTGCATGGGCGGGGATGGTTGCATGGGCGGGGATGGTTGCATGGGCGGGGATGAGTGCATGGGCGGGGGATGGTTGCATGGGCGGGGATGAGTGCATGGGCGGGGATGGTTGCATGGGCGGGGATGGTTGCATGGGCGGGGATGAGTGCATGGGCGGGGATGAGTGCATGGGCGGGGATGGTTGCATGGGCGGGGATGGTTGCATGGGCGGGGATGAGTGCATGGGCGGGGATGAGTGCATGGGCGGGGATGGTTGCATGGGCGGGGATGAGTGCATGGGCGGGGATGGTTGCATGGGCGGGGATGGTTGCATGGGCGGGGATGAGTGCATGGGCGGGGATGAGTGCATGGGCGGGGGATGGTTGCATGGGCGGGGATGGTTGCATGGGCGGGGATGAGTGCATGGGCGGGGATGGTTTGCATGGGCGGGGATGAGTGCATGGGCGGGGATGGTTGCATGGGCGGGGATGAGGTGCATGGGCGGGGATGGTTGCATGGGCGGGGATGGTTGCATGGGCGGGGATGGTTGCATGGGCGGGGATGAGTGCATGGGCGGGGATGGTTGCATGGGCGGGGATGGTTGCATGGGCGGGGATGGTTGCATGGGCGGGGATGAGTGCATGGGCGGGGATGGTTGCATGGGCGGGGATGAGTTGCATGGGCGGGGATGGTTGCATGGGCGGGGATGGTTGCATGGGCGGGGGATGGTTGCATGGGCGGGGATGAGTGCATGGGCGGGGATGGTTGCATGGGCGGGGATGGTTGCATGGGCGGGGATGGTTGCATGGGCGGGGATGGTTGCATGGGCGGGGATGGTTGCATGGGCGGGGATGGTTGCATGGGCGGGGATGGTTGCATGGGCGGGGATGGTTGCATGGGCGGGGATGGTTGCATGGGCGGGGATGAGTGCATGGGCGGGGATGAGTGCATGGGCGGGGATGGTTGCATGGGCGGGGATGGTTGCATGGGCGGGGATGAGTGCATGGGCGGGGATGAGTGCATGGGCGGGGATGGTTGCATGGGCGGGGATGAGTGCATGGGCGGGGATGGTTGCATGGGCGGGGATGGTTGCATGGGCGGGGATGGTTGCATGGGCGGGGATGGTTGCATGGGCGGGGATGGTTGCATGGGCGGGGATGGTTGCATGGGCGGGGATGGTTGCATGGGCGGGGATGGTTGCATGGGCGGGGATGGTTGCATGGGCGGGGATGAGTGCATGGGCGGGGATGAGTGCATGGGCGGGGATGGTTGCATGGGCGGGGATGGTTGCATGGGCGGGGATGAGTGCATGGGCGGGGATGGTTGCATGGGCGGGGATGAGTGCATGGGCGGGGATGGTTGCATGGGCGGGGATGGTTGCATGGGCGGGGATGGTTGCATGGGCGGGGATGAGTGCATGGGCGGGGATGGTTGCATGGGCGGGGATGGTTGCATGGGCGGGGATGGTTGCATGGGCGGGGATGGTTGCATGGGCGGGGATGAGTGCATGGGCGGGGATGGTTGCATGGGCGGGGATGGTTGCATGGGCGGGGATGGTTGCATGGGCGGGGATGGTTGCATGGGCGGGGATGGTTGCATGGGCGGGGATGAGTGCATGGGCGGGGATGGTTGCATGGGCGGGGATGGTTGCATGGGCGGGGATGGTTGCATGGGCGGGGATGGTTGCATGGGCGGGATGGTTGCATGGGCGGGGATGAGTGCATGGGCGGGGATGGTTGCATGGGCGGGGATGAGTGCATGGGCGGGGATGGTTGCATGGGCGGGGATGGTTGCATGGGCGGGGATGAGTGCATGGGCGGGGATGGTTGCATGGGCGGGGATGGTTGCATGGGCGGGGATGGTTGCATGGGCGGGGATGGTTGCATGGGCGGGGATGGTTGCATGGGCGGGGATGAGTGCATGGGCGGGGATGGTTGCATGGGCGGGGATGAGTGCATGGGCGGGGATGGTTGCATGGGCGGGGATGGTTGCATGGGCGGGGATGAGTGCATGGGCGGGGATGGTTGCATGGGCGGGGATGGGTGCATGGGCGGGGATGAGTGCATGGGCGGGGATGAGTGCATGGGCGGGGATGAGTGCATGGGCGGGGATGGTTGCATGGGCGGGGATGGTTGCATGGGCGGGGATGGTTGCATGGGCGGGGATGGTTGCATGGGCGGGGATGAGTGCATGGGCGGGGATGAGTGCATGGGCGGGGATGAGTGCATGGGCGGGGATGGTTGCATGGGCGGGGATGGTTGCATGGGCGGGGATGGTTGCATGGGCGGGGATGAGTGCATGGGCGGGGATGGTTGCATGGGCGGGGATGGTTGCATGGGCGGGGATGAGTGCATGGGCGGGGATGAGTGCATGGGCGGGGATGAGTGCATGGGCGGGGATGGTTGCATGGGCGGGGATGGTTGCATGGGCGGGGATGGTTGCATGGGCGGGGATGGTTGCATGGGCGGGGATGGTTGCATGGGCGGGGATGAGTGCATGGGCGGGGATGAGTGCATGGGCGGGGATGGTTGCATGGGCGGGGATGAGTGCATGGGCGGGGATGGTTGCATGGGCGGGGATGAGTGCATGGGCGGGGATGGTTGCATGGGCGGGGATGAGTGCATGGGCGGGGATGGTTGCATGGGCGGGGATGAGTGCATGGGCGGGGATGGTTGCATGGGCGGGGATGAGTGCATGGGCGGGGATGGTTGCATGGGCGGGGATGAGTGCATGGGCGGGGATGGTTGCATGGGCGGGGATGAGTGCATGGGCGGGGATGGTTGCATGGGCGGGGATGGTTGCATGGGCGGGGATGGTTGCATGGGCGGGGATGGTTGCATGGGCGGGGATGGTTGCATGGGCGGGGATGGTTGCATGGGCGGGGATGAGTGCATGGGCGGGGATGGTTGCATGGGCGGGGATGGTTGCATGGGCGGGGATGGTTGCATGGGCGGGGATGAGTGCATGGGCGGGGATGGTTGCATGGGCGGGGATGAGTGCATGGGCGGGGATGGTTGCATGGGCGGGGATGAGTGCATGGGCGGGGATGGTTGCATGGGCGGGGATGAGTGCATGGGCGGGGATGGTTGCATGGGCGGGGATGAGTGCATGGGCGGGGATGGTTGCATGGGCGGGGATGAGTGCATGGGCGGGGATGAGTGCATGGGCGGGGATGGTTGCATGGGCGGGGATGGTTGCATGGGCGGGGATGGTTGCATGGGCGGGGATGAGTGCATGGGCGGGGATGGTTGCATGGGCGGGGATGAGTGCATGGGCGGGGATGGTTGCATGGGCGGGGATGGTTGCATGGGCGGGGATGAGTGCATGGGCGGGGATGGTTGCATGGGCGGGGATGGTTGCATGGGCGGGGATGGTTGCATGGGCGGGGATGAGTGCATGGGCGGGGATGGTTGCATGGGCGGGGATGGTTGCATGGGCGGGGATGGTTGCATGGGCGGGGATGGTTGCATGGGCGGGGATGGTTGCATGGGCGGGGATGGTTGCATGGGCGGGGATGGTTGCATGGGCGGGGATGGTTGCATGGGCGGGGATGAGTGCATGGGCGGGGATGGTTGCATGGGCGGGGATGGTTGCATGGGCGGGGATGAGTGCATGGGCGGGGATGGTTGCATGGGCGGGGATGAGTGCATGGGCGGGGATGGTTGCATGGGCGGGGATGAGTGCATGGGCGGGGATGGTTGCATGGGCGGGGATGGTTGCATGGGCGGGGATGGTTGCATGGGCGGGGATGAGTGCATGGGCGGGGATGAGTGCATGGGCGGGGATGGTTGCATGGGCGGGGATGAGTGCATGGGCGGGGATGGTTGCATGGGCGGGGATGGTTGCATGGGCGGGGATGGTTGCATGGGCGGGGATGAGTGCATGGGCGGGGATGGTTGCATGGGCGGGGATGGTTGCATGGGCGGGGATGAGTGCATGGGCGGGGATGGTTGCATGGGCGGGGATGGTTGCATGGGCGGGGATGGTTGCATGGGCGGGGATGGTTGCATGGGCGGGGATGGTTGCATGGGCGGGGATGAGTGCATGGGCGGGGATGGTTGCATGGGCGGGGATGGTTGCATGGGCGGGGATGGTTGCATGGGCGGGGATGGTTGCATGGGCGGGGATGAGTGCATGGGCGGGGATGGTTGCATGGGCGGGGATGGTTGCATGGGCGGGGATGGTTGCATGGGCGGGGATGGTTGCATGGGCGGGGATGAGTGCATGGGCGGGGATGGTTGCATGGGCGGGGATGGTTGCATGGGCGGGGATGGTTGCATGGGCGGGGATGGTTGCATGGGCGGGGATGGTTGCATGGGCGGGGATGAGTGCATGGGCGGGGATGGTTGCATGGGCGGGGATGGTTGCATGGGCGGGGATGGTTGCATGGGCGGGGATGGTTGCATGGGCGGGGATGAGTGCATGGGCGGGGATGGTTGCATGGGCGGGGATGGTTGCATGGGCGGGGATGAGTGCATGGGCGGGGATGGTTGCATGGGCGGGGATGAGTGCATGGGCGGGGGTGGTTGCATGGGCGGGGATGAGTGCATGGGCGGGGATGGTTGCATGGGCGGGGATGGTTGCATGGGCGGGGATGAGTGCATGGGCGGGGATGGTTGCATGGGCGGGGATGGTTGCATGGGCGGGGATGGTTGCATGGGCGGGGATGAGTGCATGGCGGGGATGGTTGCATGGGCGGGGATGGTTGCATGGGCGGGGATGGTTGCATGGGCGGGGATGAGTGCATGGGCGGGGATGAGTGCATGGGCGGGGATGGTTGCATGGGCGGGGATGAGTGCATGGGCGGGGATGGTTGCATGGGCGGGGATGGTTGCATGGGCGGGGATGGTTGCATGGGCGGGGATGGTTGCATGGGCGGGGATGAGTGCATGGGCGGGGATGGTTGCATGGGCGGGGATGGTTGCATGGGCGGGGATGAGTGCATGGGCGGGGATGGTTGCATGGCCGGGGATGGTTGCATGGGCGGGGATGGTTGCATGGGCGGGGATGGTTGCATGGGCGGGGATGAGTGCATGGGCGGGGATGAGTGCATGGGCGGGGATGGTTGCATGGGCGGGGATGAGTGCATGGGCGGGGATGGTTGCATGGGCGGGGATGGTTGCATGGGCGGGGATGAGTGCATGGGCGGGGATGGTTGCATGGGCGGGGATGGTTGCATGGGCGGGGATGGTTGCATGGGCGGGGATGGTTGCATGGGCGGGGATGGTTGCATGGGCGGGGATGAGTGCATGGGCGGGGATGGTTGCATGGGCGGGGATGGTTGCATGGGCGGGGATGGTTGCATGGGCGGGGATGGTTGCATGGGCGGGGATGGTTGCATGGGCGGGGATGAGTGCATGGGCGGGGATGGTTGCATGGGCGGGGATGGTTGCATGGGCGGGGATGAGTGCATGGGCGGGGATGGTTGCATGGGCGGGGATGGTTGCATGGGCGGGGATGGTTGCATGGGCGGGGATGGTTGCATGGGCGGGGATGAGTGCATGGGCGGGGATGGTTGCATGGGCGGGGATGGTTGCATGGGCGGGGATGGTTGCATGGGCGGGGATGGTTGCATGGGCGGGGATGGTTGCATGGGCGGGGATGAGTGCATGGGCGGGGATGGTTGCATGGGCGGGGATGGTTGCATGGGCGGGGATGGTTGCATGGGCGGGGATGGTTGCATGGGCGGGGATGGTTGCATGGGCGGGGATGAGTGCATGGGCGGGGATGGTTGCATGGGCGGGGATGGTTGCATGGGCGGGGATGAGTGCATGGGCGGGGATGGTTGCATGGGCGGGGATGGTTGCATGGGCGGGGATGAGTGCATGGGCGGGGATGGTTGCATGGGCGGGGATGAGTGCATGGGCGGGGATGGTTGCATGGGCGGGGATGGTTGCATGGGCGGGGATGGTTGCATGGGCGGGGATGGTTGCATGGGCGGGGATGGTTGCATGGGCGGGGATGGTTGCATGGGCGGGGATGGTTGCATGGGCGGGGATGAGTGCATGGGCGGGGATGGTTGCATGGGCGGGGATGAGTGCATGGGCGGGGATGGTTGCATGGGCGGGGATGGTTGCATGGGCGGGGATGGTTGCATGGGCGGGGATGAGTGCATGGGCGGGGATGGTTGCATGGGCGGGGATGAGTGCATGGGCGGGGATGGTTGCATGGGCGGGGATGAGTGCATGGGCGGGGATGGTTGCATGGGCGGGGATGGTTGCATGGGCGGGGATGAGTGCATGGGCGGGGATGGTTGCATGGGCGGGGATGAGTGCATGGGCGGGGATGGTTGCATGGGCGGGGATGGTTGCATGGGCGGGGATGGTTGCATGGGCGGGGATGGTTGCATGGGCGGGGATGGTTGCATGGGCGGGGATGAGTGCATGGGCGGGGATGAGTGCATGGGCGGGGATGGTTGCATGGGCGGGGATGAGTGCATGGGCGGGGATGGTTGCATGGGCGGGGATGGTTGCATGGGCGGGGATGGTTGCATGGGCGGGGATGGTTGCATGGGCGGGGATGAGTGCATGGGCGGGGATGGTTGCATGGGCGGGGATGGTTGCATGGGCGGGGATGGTTGCATGGGCGGGGATGAGTGCATGGGCGGGGATGGTTGCATGGGCGGGGATGAGTGCATGGGCGGGGATGGTTGCATGGGCGGGGATGGTTGCATGGGCGGGGATGAGTGCATGGGCGGGGATGGTTGCATGGGCGGGGATGGTTGCATGGGCGGGGATGGTTGCATGGGCGGGGATGGTTGCATGGGCGGGGATGGTTGCATGGGCGGGGATGAGTGCATGGGCGGGGATGGTTGCATGGGCGGGGATGGTTGCATGGGCGGGGATGGTTGCATGGGCGGGGATGAGTGCATGGGCGGGGATGAGTGCATGGGCGGGGATGGTTGCATGGGCGGGGATGAGTGCATGGGCGGGGATGGTTGCATGGGCGGGGATGGTTGCATGGGCGGGGATGGTTGCATGGGCGGGGATGGTTGCATGGGCGGGGATGGTTGCATGGGCGGGGATGAGTGCATGGGCGGGGATGGTTGCATGGGCGGGGATGGTTGCATGGGCGGGGATGGTTGCATGGGCGGGGATGGTTGCATGGGCGGGGATGAGTGCATGGGCGGGGATGAGTGCATGGGCGGGGATGGTTGCATGGGCGGGGATGAGTGCATGGGCGGGGATGGTTGCATGGGCGGGGATGGTTGCATGGGCGGGGATGGTTGCATGGGCGGGGATGGTTGCATGGGCGGGGATGAGTGCATGGGCGGGGATGGTTGCATGGGCGGGGATGAGTGCATGGGCGGGGATGAGTGCATGGGCGGGGATGGTTGCATGGGCGGGGATGGTTGCATGGGCGGGGATGGTTGCATGGGCGGGGATGGTTGCATGGGCGGGGATGGTTGCATGGGCGGGGATGAGTGCATGGGCGGGGATGGTTGCATGGGCGGGGATGGTTGCATGGGCGGGGATGAGTGCATGGGCGGGGATGGTTGCATGGGCGGGGATGGTTGCATGGGCGGGGATGAGTGCATGGGCGGGGATGGTTGCATGGGCGGGGATGAGTGCATGGGCGGGGATGGTTGCATGGGCGGGGATGGTTGCATGGGCGGGGATGGTTGCATGGGCGGGGATGGTTGCATGGGCGGGGATGGTTGCATGGGCGGGGATGGTTGCATGGGCGGGGATGGTTGCATGGGCGGGGATGAGTGCATGGGCGGGGATGGTTGCATGGGCGGGGATGGTTGCATGGGCGGGGATGGTTGCATGGGCGGGGATGGTTGCATGGGCGGGGATGAGTGCATGGGCGGGGATGGTTGCATGGGCGGGGATGAGTGCATGGGCGGGGATGGTTGCATGGGCGGGGATGGTTGCATGGGCGGGGATGGTTGCATGGGCGGGGATGAGTGCATGGGCGGGGATGGTTGCATGGGCGGGGATGAGTGCATGGGCGGGGATGGTTGCATGGGCGGGGATGAGTGCATGGGCGGGGATGGTTGCATGGGCGGGGATGGTTGCATGGGCGGGGATGGTTGCATGGGCGGGGATGAGTGCATGGGCGGGGATGGTTGCATGGGCGGGGATGAGTGCATGGGCGGGGATGGTTGCATGGGCGGGGATGGTTGCATGGGCGGGGATGAGTGCATGGGCGGGGATGGTTGCATGGGCGGGGATGAGTGCATGGGCGGGGATGGTTGCATGGGCGGGGATGGTTGCATGGGCGGGGATGGTTGCATGGGCGGGGATGGTTGCATGGGCGGGGATGGTTGCATGGGCGGGGATGAGTGCATGGGCGGGGATGAGTGCATGGGCGGGGATGGTTGCATGGGCGGGGATGAGTGCATGGGCGGGGATGGTTGCATGGGCGGGGATGGTTGCATGGGCGGGGATGAGTGCATGGGCGGGGATGGTTGCATGGGCGGGGATGAGTGCATGGGCGGGGATGGTTGCATGGGCGGGGATGAGTGCATGGGCGGGGATGGTTGCATGGGCGGGGATGGTTGCATGGGCGGGGATGGTTGCATGGGCGGGGATGAGTGCATGGGCGGGGATGGTTGCATGGGCGGGGATGAGTGCATGGGCGGGGATGGTTGCATGGGCGGGGATGGTTGCATGGGCGGGGATGAGTGCATGGGCGGGGATGAGTGCATGGGCGGGGATGGTTGCATGGGCGGGGATGAGTGCATGGGCGGGGATGGTTGCATGGGCGGGGATGGTTGCATGGGCGGGGATGAGTGCATGGGCGGGGATGAGTGCATGGGCGGGGATGGTTGCATGGGCGGGGATGGTTGCATGGGCGGGGATGGTTGCATGGGCGGGGATGGTTGCATGGGCGGGGATGGTTGCATGGGCGGGGATGAGTGCATGGGCGGGGATGGTTGCATGGGCGGGGATGGTTGCATGGGCGGGGATGAGTGCATGGGCGGGGATGGTTGCATGGGCGGGGATGGTTGCATGGGCGGGGATGAGTGCATGGGCGGGGATGGTTGCATGGGCGGGGATGGTTGCATGGGCGGGGATGGTTGCATGGGCGGGGATGGTTGCATGGGCGGGGATGGTTGCATGGGCGGGGATGGTTGCATGGGCGGGGATGGTTGCATGGGCGGGGATGAGTGCATGGGCGGGGATGGTTGCATGGGCGGGGATGGTTGCATGGGCGGGGATGGTTGCATGGGCGGGGATGGTTGCATGGGCGGGGATGGTTGCATGGGCGGGGATGGTTGCATGGGCGGGGATGGTTGCATGGGCGGGGATGAGTGCATGGGCGGGGATGGTTGCATGGGCGGGGATGGTTGCATGGGCGGGGATGGTTGCATGGGCGGGGATGGTTGCATGGGCGGGGATGGTTGCATGGGCGGGGATGGTTGCATGGGCGGGGATGAGTGCATGGGCGGGGATGGTTGCATGGGCGGGGATGAGTGCATGGGCGGGGATGGTTGCATGGGCGGGGATGGTTGCATGGGCGGGGATGAGTGCATGGGCGGGGATGAGTGCATGGGCGGGGATGGTTGCATGGGCGGGGATGGTTGCATGGGCGGGGATGGTTGCATGGGCGGGGATGGTTGCATGGGCGGGGATGAGTGCATGGGCGGGGATGGTTGCATGGGCGGGGATGGTTGCATGGGCGGGGATGGTTGCATGGGCGGGGATGAGTGCATGGGCGGGGATGGTTGCATGGGCGGGGATGGTTGCATGGGCGGGGATGAGTGCATGGGCGGGGATGGTTGCATGGGCGGGGATGGTTGCATGGGCGGGGATGAGTGCATGGGCGGGGATGAGTGCATGGGCGGGGATGGTTGCATGGGCGGGGATGGTTGCATGGGCGGGGATGGTTGCATGGGCGGGGATGGTTGCATGGGCGGGGATGGTTGCATGGGCGGGGATGAGTGCATGGGCGGGGATGGTTGCATGGGCGGGGATGGGCGGGGATGGTTGCATGGGCGGGGATGAGTGCATGGGCGGGGATGAGTGCATGGGCGGGGATGGTTGCATGGGCGGGGATGAGTGCATGGGCGGGGATGGTTGCATGGGCGGGGATGGTTGCATGGGCGGGGATGAGTGCATGGGCGGGGATGGTTGCATGGGCGGGGATGGTTGCATGGGCGGGGATGAGTGCATGGGCGGGGATGGTTGCATGGGCGGGGATGGTTGCATGGGCGGGGATGGTTGCATGGGCGGGGATGAGTGCATGGGCGGGGATGGTTGCATGGGCGGGGATGGTTGCATGGGCGGGGATGGTTGCATGGGCGGGGATGAGTGCATGGGCGGGGATGGTTGCATGGGCGGGGATGAGTGCATGGGCGGGGATGGTTGCATGGGCGGGGATGGTTGCATGGGCGGGGATGGTTGCATGGGCGGGGATGAGTGCATGGGCGGGGATGGTTGCATGGGCGGGGATGAGTGCATGGGCGGGGATGAGTGCATGGGCGGGGATGGTTGCATGGGCGGGGATGGTTGCATGGGCGGGGATGGTTGCATGGGCGGGGATGGTTGCATGGGCGGGGATGAGTGCATGGGCGGGGATGAGTGCATGGGCGGGGATGGTTGCATGGGCGGGGATGGTTGCATGGGCGGGGATGGTTGCATGGGCGGGGATGGTTGCATGGGCGGGGATGAGTGCATGGGCGGGGATGGTTGCATGGGCGGGGATGAGTGCATGGGCGGGGATGAGTGCATGGGCGGGGATGGTTGCATGGGCGGGGATGAGTGCATGGGCGGGGATGGTTGCATGGGCGGGGATGGTTGCATGGGCGGGGATGGTTGCATGGGCGGGGATGAGTGCATGGGCGGGGATGGTTGCATGGGCGGGGATGAGTGCATGGGCGGGGATGGTTGCATGGGCGGGGATGGTTGCATGGGCGGGGATGGTTGCATGGGCGGGGATGGTTGCATGGGCGGGGATGGTTGCATGGGCGGGGATGGTTGCATGGGCGGGGATGGTTGCATGGGCGGGGATGAGTGCATGGGCGGGGATGGTTGCATGGGCGGGGATGGTTGCATGGGCGGGGATGGTTGCATGGGCGGGGATGGTTGCATGGGCGGGGATGAGTGCATGGGCGGGGATGGTTGCATGGGCGGGGATGAGTGCATGGGCGGGGATGGTTGCATGGGCGGGGATGGTTGCATGGGCGGGGATGGTTGCATGGGCGGGGATGAGTGCATGGGCGGGGATGGTTGCATGGGCGGGGATGGTTGCATGGGCGGGGATGGTTGCATGGGCGGGGATGGTTGCATGGGCGGGGATGAGTGCATGGGCGGGGATGAGTGCATGGGCGGGGATGAGTGCATGGGCGGGGATGGTTGCATGGGCGGGGATGGTTGCATGGGCGGGGATGGTTGCATGGGCGGGGATGAGTGCATGGGCGGGGATGAGTGCATGGGCGGGGATGGTTGCATGGGCGGGGATGGTTGCATGGGCGGGGATGGTTGCATGGGCGGGGATGAGTGCATGGGCGGGGATGGTTGCATGGGCGGGGATGAGTGCATGGGCGGGGATGGTTGCATGGGCGGGGATGGTTGCATGGGCGGGGATGGTTGCATGGGCGGGGATGGTTGCATGGGCGGGGATGAGTGCATGGGCGGGGATGGTTGCATGGGCGGGGATGGTTGCATGGGCGGGGATGGTTGCATGGGCGGGGATGAGTGCATGGGCGGGGATGAGTGCATGGGCGGGGATGGTTGCATGGGCGGGGATGGTTGCATGGGCGGGGATGGTTGCATGGGCGGGGATGGTTGCATGGGCGGGGATGGTTGCATGGGCGGGGATGAGTGCATGGGCGGGGATGAGTGCATGGGCGGGGATGGTTGCATGGGCGGGGATGAGTGCATGGGCGGGGATGAGTGCATGGGCGGGGATGGTTGCATGGGCGGGGATGGTTGCATGGGCGGGGATGGTTGCATGGGCGGGGATGGTTGCATGGGCGGGGATGGTTGCATGGGCGGGGATGAGTGCATGGGCGGGGATGAGTGCATGGGCGGGGATGGTTGCATGGGCGGGGATGAGTGCATGGGCGGGGATGGTTGCATGGGCGGGGATGGTTGCATGGGCGGGGATGGTTGCATGGGCGGGGATGGTTGCATGGGCGGGGATGGTTGCATGGGCGGGGATGAGTGCATGGGCGGGGATGGTTGCATGGGCGGGGATGGTTGCATGGGCGGGGATGGTTGCATGGGCGGGGATGAGTGCATGGGCGGGGATGAGTGCATGGGCGGGGATGGTTGCATGGGCGGGGATGGTTGCATGGGCGGGGATGGTTGCATGGGCGGGGATGGTTGCATGGGCGGGGATGGTTGCATGGGCGGGGATGAGTGCATGGGCGGGGATGAGTGCATGGGCGGGGATGGTTGCATGGGCGGGGATGGTTGCATGGGCGGGGATGGTTGCATGGGCGGGGATGGTTGCATGGGCGGGGATGAGTGCATGGGCGGGGATGGTTGCATGGGCGGGGATGGTTGCATGGGCGGGGATGGTTGCATGGGCGGGGATGGTTGCATGGGCGGGGATGAGTGCATGGGCGGGGATGGTTGCATGGGCGGGGATGGTTGCATGGGCGGGGATGGTTGCATGGGCGGGGATGGTTGCATGGGCGGGGATGGTTGCATGGGCGGGGATGAGTGCATGGGCGGGGATGAGTGCATGGGCGGGGATGGTTGCATGGGCGGGGATGGTTGCATGGGCGGGGATGAGTGCATGGGCGGGGATGGTTGCATGGGCGGGGATGGTTGCATGGGCGGGGATGGTTGCATGGGCGGGGATGGTTGCATGGGCGGGGATGGTTGCATGGGCGGGGATGAGTGCATGGGCGGGGATGGTTGCATGGGCGGGGATGGTTGCATGGGCGGGGATGGTTGCATGGGCGGGGATGGTTGCATGGGCGGGGATGAGTGCATGGGCGGGGATGGTTGCATGGGCGGGGATGAGTGCATGGGCGGGGATGGTTGCATGGGCGGGGATGGTTGCATGGGCGGGGATGGTTGCATGGGCGGGGATGAGTGCATGGGCGGGGATGGTTGCATGGGCGGGGATGGTTGCATGGGCGGGGATGGTTGCATGGGCGGGGATGAGTGCATGGGCGGGGATGGTTGCATGGGCGGGGATGAGTGCATGGGCGGGGATGGTTGCATGGGCGGGGATGGTTGCATGGGCGGGGATGGTTGCATGGGCGGGGATGAGTGCATGGGCGGGGATGGTTGCATGGGCGGGGATGAGTGCATGGGCGGGGATGGTTGCATGGGCGGGGATGAGTGCATGGGCGGGGATGGTTGCATGGGCGGGGATGAGTGCATGGGCGGGGATGGTTGCATGGGCGGGGATGAGTGCATGGGCGGGGATGGTTGCATGGGCGGGGATGGTTGCATGGGCGGGGATGAGTGCATGGGCGGGGATGAGTGCATGGGCGGGGATGAGTGCATGGGCGGGGATGGTTGCATGGGCGGGGATGGTTGCATGGGCGGGGATGAGTGCATGGGCGGGGATGAGTGCATGGGCGGGGATGAGTGCATGGGCGGGGATGGTTGCATGGGCGGGGATGGTTGCATGGGCGGGGATGGTTGCATGGGCGGGGATGGTTGCATGGGCGGGGATGGTTGCATGGGCGGGGATGGTTGCATGGGCGGGGATGAGTGCATGGGCGGGGATGGTTGCATGGGCGGGGATGGTTGCATGGGCGGGGATGGTTGCATGGGCGGGGATGAGTGCATGGGCGGGGATGAGTGCATGGGCGGGGATGGTTGCATGGGCGGGGATGGTTGCATGGGCGGGGATGGTTGCATGGGCGGGGATGGTTGCATGGGCGGGGATGAGTGCATGGGCGGGGATGGTTGCATGGGCGGGGATGAGTGCATGGGCGGGGATGGTTGCATGGGCGGGGATGAGTGCATGGGCGGGGATGAGTGCATGGGCGGGGATGGTTGCATGGGCGGGGATGGTTGCATGGGCGGGGATGGTTGCATGGGCGGGGATGGTTGCATGGGCGGGGATGGTTGCATGGGCGGGGATGAGTGCATGGGCGGGGATGAGTGCATGGGCGGGGATGGTTGCATGGGCGGGGATGGTTGCATGGGCGGGGATGGTTGCATGGGCGGGGATGGTTGCATGGGCGGGGATGAGTGCATGGGCGGGGATGGTTGCATGGGCGGGGATGGTTGCATGGGCGGGGATGGTTGCATGGGCGGGGATGGTTGCATGGGCGGGGATGGTTGCATGGGCGGGGATGGTTGCATGGGCGGGGATGGTTGCATGGGCGGGGATGAGTGCATGGGCGGGGATGGTTGCATGGGCGGGGATGAGTGCATGGGCGGGGATGGTTGCATGGGCGGGGATGGTTGCATGGGCGGGGATGAGTGCATGGGCGGGGATGGTTGCATGGGCGGGGATGAGTGCATGGGCGGGGATGGTTGCATGGGCGGGGATGAGTGCATGGGCGGGGATGAGTGCATGGGCGGGGATGAGTGCATGGGCGGGGATGAGTGCATGGGCGGGGATGGTTGCATGGGCGGGGATGTGTGCATGGGCGGGGATGGTTGCATGGGCGGGGATGGTTGCATGGGCGGGGATGGTTGCATGGGCGGGGATGGTTGCATGGGCGGGGATGGTTGCATGGGCGGGGATGAGTGCATGGGCGGGGATGGTTGCATGGGCGGGGATGGTTGCATGGGCGGGGATGAGTGCATGGGCGGGGATGGTTGCATGGGCGGGGATGAGTGCATGGGCGGGGATGGTTGCATGGGCGGGGATGAGTGCATGGGCGGGGATGAGTGCATGGGCGGGGATGAGTGCATGGGCGGGGATGGTTGCATGGGCGGGGATGGTTGCATGGGCGGGGATGAGTGCATGGGCGGGGATGGTTGCATGGGCGGGGATGAGTGCATGGGCGGGGATGGTTGCATGGGCGGGGATGGTTGCATGGGCGGGGATGAGTGCATGGGCGGGGATGAGTGCATGGGCGGGGATGAGTGCATGGGCGGGGATGAGTGCATGGGCGGGGATGGTTGCATGGGCGGGGATGAGTGCATGGGCGGGGATGGTTGCATGGGCGGGGATGAGTGCATGGGCGGGGATGAGTGCATGGGCGGGGATGAGTGCATGGGCGGGGATGGTTGCATGGGCGGGGATGGTTGCATGGGCGGGGATGAGTGCATGGGCGGGGATGGTTGCATGGGCGGGGATGAGTGCATGGGCGGGGATGAGTGCATGGGCGGGGATGGTTGCATGGGCGGGGATGAGTGCATGGGCGGGGATGGTTGCATGGGCGGGGATGAGTGCATGGGCGGGGATGAGTGCATGGGCGGGGATGGTTGCATGGGCGGGGATGAGTGCATGGGCGGGGATGAGTGCATGGGCGGGGATGGTTGCATGGGCGGGTATGAGTGCATGGGCGGGGGATGAGTGCATGGGCGGGGATGAGTGCATGGGCGGGATGTGCATGGGCGGGGATGAGTGCATGGGCGGGGATGAGTGCATGGGCGGGATGGTTGCATGGGCGGGGATGAGTGCATGGGCGGGGATGAGTGCATGGGCGGGACTGGTTGCATGGGCGGGGATAGGTGCATGGGCGGGGATGGTTGCATGGGTGGGGATGAGTGCATGGGCGGGGATGAGTGCATGGGCGGGGATGAGTGCATGGGCGGGATGAGTGCATGGGCGGGGATGTGCATGGGGGCGGGATGAGTGCATGGGCGGGGATGGTTGCATGGGCTGGGATGAGTGCATGGGCTGGGGGATGAGTGCATGGGCGGGGATGAGTGCATGGGCGGGGGATGAGTGCCTGGGGCGGGGACTGAGTGCATGGGCGGGGAATGGTTGCATGGGCGGGGATGGTTGCATGGGCGGGGGATGAGGCATGGGCGGGGATGAGTGCATGGGCGGGAGGGGGGAAATTTAGCTATGGGCGGGGATGAGTGCATGGGCGGGGATTGAGTTGCATGGGCGGGGATGAGTGCATGGGCGGGGATGAGTTGCATGGGCGGGGATGAGTGCATGGGGCGGGGATGGTTGCATGGGCGGGGGATGGTTGCATGGGCGGGGATGGTTGCATGGGCGGGGATGAGTGCATGGGCGGGGATGAGTGCATGGGCGGGGATGAGTGCATGGGCGGGGATGGTTGCATGGGCGGGGATGAGTGCAATGGGCGGGGATGGTTGCATGGGCGGGGATGAGTGCATGGGCGGGATGAGTGCATGGGCGGGGATGAGTGCATGGGCGGGGATGAGTGCATGGGCGGGGGATGAGTGCATGGGCGGGGATGATTGCATGGGCGGGGGATGAGTTGCATGGGCGGGGGATGGTTGCATGGGCGGGGATGAGTGCATGGGCGGGGATGAGTGCTGGGCGGGGATGAGTGCATGGGCGGGGATGAGTGCATGGGCGGGGATGAGTGCATGGGCGGGGATGGTTGCATGGGGCGGGGATTGTTGCATGTGCGGGATGGTGCATGGGCGGGATGAGTGCATGGGCGGGGATGAGTGCATGGGCGGGGATGAGTGCATGGGCGGGGATGAGTGCATGGGCGGGGATGGTTGCATGGGCGGTGGATGGTTGCATGGGCGGGGATGGTTGCATGGGCGGGGATGTAGTGCATGGGCGGGGGATGGTGCATGGGCGGGATGAGTGCATGGGCGGGGATGTTGCATGGGCGGGGATGAGTGCATGGGCGGGGATGAGTGCATGGGCGGGGATGAGTGCATGGGCGGGGATGAGTGCATGGGCGGGGATGAGTGCATGGGCGGGGATGAGTGCATGGGCGGGATGGTTGCATGGGCGGGGATGGTTGCATGGGCGGGATGAGTGCATGGACGCGGGGATGAGTGCATGGGCGGGGATGAGTGCATGGGCGGGGATGAGTTGCATGGGCGGGGATGGTTGCATGGGCGGGGATGGTTGCATGGGCGGGGATGAGTGCATGGGCGGGGATGGTTGCATGGGCGGGGATGAGTGCATGGGGCGGGGATGAGTGCATGGGCGGGGATGAGTGCATGGGCGGGGATGAGTGCATGGGCGGGGATGGTTGCATGGGCGGGGATGAGTGCATGGGCGGGGATGAGTGCATGGGCGGGGATGAGTGCATGGGCGGGGATGAGTGCATGGCGGGGATGAGTGCATGGGCGGGGATGAGTGCATGGGCGGGGATGAGTGCATGGGCGGGGATGAGTGCATGGGCGGGGATGAGTGCATGGGCGGGGATGAGTGCATGGGCGGGGATGAGTGCATGGGCGGGGATGGTTGCATGGGCGGGGATGGTTGCATGGGCGGGGATGGTTGCATGGGCGGGGATGAGTGCATGGGCGGGGATGAGTGCATGGGCGGGGATGAGTGCATGGGCGGGGATGGTTGCATGGGCGGGGATGGTTGCATGGGCGGGGATGGTTGCATGGGCGGGGATGAGTGCATGGGCGGGGATGAGTGCATGGGCGGGGATGAGTGCATGGGCGGGGATGGTTGCATGGGCGGGGATGAGTGCATGGGCGGGGATGGTTGCATGGGCGGGGATGAGTGCATGGGCGGGGATGGTTGCATGGGCGGGGATGAGTGCATGGGCTGGGATGAGTGCATGGGCGGGGATGAGTGCATGGGCGGGGATGAGTGCATGGGCGGGGATGGTTGCATGGGCGGGGATGAGTGCATGGGCGGGGATGAGTGCATGGGCGGGGATGAGTGCATGGGCGGGGATGAGTGCATGGGCGGGGATGAGTGCATGGGCGGGGATGAGTGCATGGGCGGGGATGAGTGCATGGGCGGGGATGAGTGCATGGGCGGGGATGAGTGCATGGGCGGGGATGGTTGCATGGGCGGGGATGGTTGCATGGGCGGGGATGGTTGCATGGGCGGGGATGAGTGCATGGGCGGGGATGGTTGCATGGGCGGGGATGGTTGCATGGGCGGGGATGAGTGCATGGGCGGGATGAGTGCATGGGCGGGGATGAGTGCATGGGCGGGGATGAGTGCATGGGCGGGGATGGTTGCATGGGCGGGGATGGTTGCATGGGCGGGGATGGTTGCATGGGCGGGGATGAGTGCATGGGCGGGGATGAGTGCATGGGCGGGGATGAGTGCATGGGCGGGGATGAGTGCATGGCGGGGATGAGTGCATGGGCGGGGATGGTTGCATGGGCGGGGATGGTTGCATGGGCGGGGATGAGTGCATGGGCGGGGATGAGTGCATGGGCGGGGATGGTTGCATGGGCGGGGATGAGTGCATGGGCGGGGATGAGTGCATGGGCGGGGATGAGTGCATGGGCGGGGATGAGTGCATGGGCGGGGATGAGTGCATGGGCGGGGATGGTTGCATGGGCGGGGATGAGTGCATGGGCGGGGATGGTTGCATGGGCGGGGATGAGTGCATGGGCGGGGATGGTTGCATGGGCGGGGATGGTTGCATGGGCGGGGATGAGTGCATGGGCGGGGATGAGTGCATGGGCGGGGATGGTTGCATGGGCGGGGATGAGTGCATGGGCGGGGATGAGTGCATGGGCGGGGATGAGTGCATGGGCGGGGATGAGTGCATGGGCGGGGATGAGTGCATGGGCGGGGATGGTTGCATGGGCGGGGATGGTTGCATGGGCGGGGATGAGTGCATGGGCGGGGATGAGTGCATGGGCGGGGATGGTTGCATGGGCGGGGATGGTTGCATGGGCGGGGATGGTTGCATGGGCGGGGATGAGTGCATGGGCGGGGATGAGTGCATGGGCGGGGATGAGTGCATGGGCGGGGATGGTTGCATGGGCGGGGATGAGTTGCATGGGCGGGGGATGGTTGCATGGGCGGGGATGAGTGCATGGGCGGGGATGGTTTGCATGGGCGGGGATGGTTGCCATGGGCGGGGATGAGTGCATGGGCGGGGATGAGTGCATGGGCGGGGATGAGTGCATGGGCGGGGATGAGTGCATGGGCGGGATGGTTGCATGGGCGGGGATGGTTGCATGGGCGGGGATGGTTGCATGGGCGGGGATGAGTGCATGGGCGGGGATGGTTGCATGGGCGGGGATGGTTGCATGGGCGGGGATGGTTGCATGGGCGGGGATGAGTGCATGGGCGGGGATGAGTGCATGGGCGGGATGTGTTGCATGGGCGGGGATGAGTGCATGGGCGGGGATGGTTGCATGGGCGGGGATGAGTGCATGGGCGGGGATGTGTGCATGGGCGGGGATGAGTGCATGGGCGGGGATGAGTGCATGGGCGGGGATGAGTGCATGGGCGGGATGAGTGCATGGGCGGGGATGAGTGCATGGGCGGGGATGAGTGCATGGGCGGGGATGGTTGCATGGGCGGGGATGGTTGCATGGGCGGGGATGAGTGCATGGGCGGGGATGAGTGCATGGGCGGGGATGGTTGCATGGGCGGGGATGAGTGCATGGGCGGGGATGAGTGCATGGGCGGGGATGAGTGCATGGGCGGGGATGAGTGCATGGGCGGGGATGAGTGCATGGGCGGGGATGAGTGCATGGGCGGGGATGAGTGCATGGGCGGGGATGGTTGCATGGGCGGGGATGAGTGCATGGGCGGGGATGGTTGCATGGGCGGGGATGAGTGCATGGGCGGGGATGGTTGCATGGGCGGGGATGGTTGCATGGGCGGGGATGAGTGCATGGGCGGGATGAGTGCATGGGCGGGGATGGTTGCATGGGCGGGGATGAGTGCATGGGCGGGGATGAGTGCATGGGCGGGGATGGTTGCATGGGCGGGGATGAGTGCATGGGCGGGGATGGTTGCATGGGCGGGGATGGTTGCATGGGCGGGGATGAGTGCATGGGCGGGGATGAGTGCATGGGCGGGGATGGTTGCATGGGCGGGGATGGTTGCATGGGCGGGGATGGTTGCATGGGCGGGGATGGTTGCATGGGCGGGGATGAGTGCATGGGCGGGGATGGTTGCATGGGCGGGGATGGTGCATGGGGCGGGGATGAGTGCATGGGCGGGGATGTGTGCATGGGCGGGGATGAGTGCATGGGCGGGGATGAGTGCATGGGCGGGGATGAGTGCATGGGCGGGGATGAGTGCATGGGCGGGGATGAGTGCATGGGCGGGGATGAGTGCATGGGCGGGGATGAGTGCATGGGCGGGGATGGTTGCATGGGCGGGGATGAGTGCATGGGCGGGGATGAGTGCATGGGCGGGGATGAGTGCATGGGCGGGGATGAGTGCATGGGCGGGGATGGTTGCATGGGCGGGGATGAGTGCATGGGCGGGGATGGTTGCATGGGCGGGGATGAGTGCATGGGCGGGGATGGTTGCATGGGCGGGGATGGTTGCATGGGCGGGGATGAGTGCATGGGCGGGGATGGTTGCATGGGCGGGGATGAGTGCATGGGCGGGGATGAGTGCATGGGCGGGGATGAGTGCATGGGCGGGGATGAGTGCATGGGCGGGGATGAGTGCATGGGGATGAGTGCATGGGCGGGGATGGTTGCTGGGCGGGATGAGTGCATGGGCGGGGATGGTTGCATGGGCGGGGATGGTTGCATGGGCGGGGATGAGTGCATGGGCGGGGATGAGTGCATGGGCGGGGATGAGTGCATGGGCGGGGATGAGTGCATGGGCGGGGGATGGTTGCATGGGCGGGGATGAGTGCATGGGCGGGGATGGTTGCATGGGCGGGGATGGTTGCATGGCGGGGATGGTTGCATGGGCGGGGATGGTTGCATGGGCGGGGATGAGTGCATGGGCGGGGATGAGTGCATGGGCGGGGATGAGTGCATGGGCGGGGATGGTTGCATGGGCGGGGATGAGTGCATGGGCGGGGATGAGTGCATGGGCGGGGATGGTTGCATGGGCGGGGATGAGTGCATGGGCGGGGATGGTTGCATGGGCGGGGATGGTTGCATGGGCGGGGATGGTTGCATGGGCGGGGATGAGTGCATGGGGGGATGAGTGCATGGGCATGGGCGGGATGGTTGCATGGGCGGGGATGGTTGCATGGGCGGGGATGGTTGCATGGGCGGGTGGGGGGATGAGTGCATGGGCGGGGATGGTTGCATGGGCGTGGGATGGTTGCATGGGCGGGGATGAGTGCATGGGCGGGGATGGTTGCATGGGCGGGGATGGTTGCATGGGCGGGGATGGTTGCATGGGCGGGGATGAGTGCATGGGCGGGGATGGTTGCATGGGCGGGGATGAGTGCATGGGCGGGGATGAGTGCATGGGCGGGGATGAGTGCATGGGCGGGGATGAGTGCATGGGCGGGGATGAGTGCATGGGCGGGGATGGTTGCATGGGCGGGGATGGTTGCATGGGCGGGGATGGTTGCATGGGCGGGGATGAGTGCATGGGCGGGGATGGTTGCATGGGCGGGGATGGTTGCATGGGCGGGGATGAGTGCATGGCGGGATGGTTGCATGGGCGGGATGGTTGCATGGGCGGGGATGGTTGCATGGGCGGGATGAGTGCATGGGCGGGGATGGTTGCATGGGCGGGGATGGTTGCATGGGCGGGGATGAGTTGCATGGGCGGGGATGGTTGCATGGGCGGGGATGGTTGCATGGGCGGGGATGGTTGCATGGGCGGGGATGAGTGCATGGGCGGGGATGAGTGCATGGGCGGGGATGAGTGCATGGGCGGGGATGGTGCATGGGCGGGGATGGTTGCATGGGCGGGGATGGTTGCATGGGCGGGGATGAGTTGCATGGGCGGGGATGAGTGCATGGGCGGGGATGAGTGCATGGGCGGGGATGAGTTGCATGGGCGGGGATGAGTTGCATGGGCGGGGATGGTGCATGGGCGGGGATGGTTGCATGGGCGGGGATGGTTGCATGGGCGGGGATGAGTGCATGGGCGGGGATGTAGTGCATGGGCGGGGATGAGTGCATGGGCGGGGATGAGTGCATGGGCGGGGATGAGTGCATGGGCGGGGATGGTTGCCATGGGCGGGGATGGTTGCATGGGCGGGGGATGGTTGCATGGGCGGGGATGAGTGCATGGGGGATGAGTGCATGGGCGGGGATGAGTGCATGGGCGGGGATGGTTGCATGGGCGGGGATGAGTGCATGGGCGGGGATGAGTGCATGGGCGGGGATGAGTGCATGGGCGGGGATGGTTGCATGGGCGGGGATGAGTGCATGGGCGGGGATGAGTGCATGGGCGGGGATGAGTGCATGGGCGGGGATGAGTGCATGGGCGGGGATGAGTGCATGGGCGGGGATGGTTGCATGGGCGGGGATGAGTGCATGGGCGGGGATGAGTGCATGGGCGGGGATGAGTGCATGGGCGGGGATGGTTGCATGGGCGGGGATGAGTGCATGGGCGGGGATGAGTGCATGGGCGGGGATGAGTGCATGGGCGGGGATGAGTGCATGGGCGGGGATGAGTGCATGTGCGGGGATGGTTGCATGGGCGGGGATGAGTGCATGGGCGGGGATGAGTGCATGGGCGGGGATGGTTGCATGGGCGGGGATGAGTGCATGGGCGGGGGATGGTTGCATGGGCGGGGATGAGTGCATGGGCGGGGATGAGTGCATGGGCGGGGATGGTTGCATGGGCGGGGATGAGTGCATGGGCGGGGATGGTTGCATGGGCGGGGATGAGTGCATGGGCGGGGATGAGTGCATGGGCGGGGATGAGTGCATGGGCGGGGATGGTTGCATGGGCGGGGATGAGTGCATGGGCGGGGATGGTTGCATGGGCGGGGATGAGTGCATGGGCGGGGATGGTTGCTATGGGCGGGGATGGTTGCATGGGCGGGGATGAGTGCATGGGCGGGGATGAGTGCATGGGCGGGGATGGTTGCATGGGCGGGGATGAGTGCATGGGCGGGGATGGTTGCATGGGCGGGGATGGTTGCATGGGCGGGGATGAGTGCATGGGCGGGGATGAGTGCATGGGCGGGGATGGTTGCATGGGCGGGGATGAGTGCATGGGCGGGGATGGTTGCATGGGCGGGGATGGTTGCATGGGCGGGGATGAGTGCATGGGCGGGGATGAGTGCATGGGCGGGGATGAGTTGCATGGGCGGGGATGTTGCTATGGGCGGGGATGAGTGCATGGGCGGGGATGGTTGCATGGGCGGGGATGAGTGCATGGGCGGGGATGGTTGCATGGGCGGGGATGGTTGCATGGGCGGGGATGGTTGCATGGGCGGGGATGAGTGCATGGGCGGGGATGGTTGCATGGGCGGGGGATGGTTGCATGGGCGGGGATGAGTGCATGGGCGGGGATGGTTGCATGGGCGGGGATGAGTGCATGGGCGGGGATGGTTGCATGGGCGGGGATGGTTGCATGGGCGGGGATGAGTGCATGGGCGGGGATGGTTGCATGGGCGGGGATGGTTGCATGGGCGGGGATGAGTGCATGGGCGGGGATGGTTGCATGGGCGGGGATGAGTGCATGGGCGGGGATGGTTGCATGGGCGGGGATGGTTGCATGGGCGGGGATGTAAGTGCATGGGCGGGGATGAGTGCATGGGCGGGGATGAGTGCATGGGGGATGGTTGCATGGGATGAGTGCATGGCGGGGATGAGTGCATGGGCGGGGATGGTTGCATGGGCGGGGATGAGTGCATGGGCGGGGGATGGTTGCATGGGCGGGATGAGTGCATGGGCGGGGATGGTTGCATGGCGGGGATGAGTGCATGGGCGGGGATGGTTGCATGGGCGGGGATGGTTGCATGGGCGGGGATGGTTGCATGGGCGGGGATGAGTGCATGGGCGGGGATGGTTGCATGGGCGGGGATGAGTGCATGGGCGGGGATGGTTGCATGGGCGGGGATGGTTGCATGGGCGGGGATGGTTGCATGGGCGGGGATGGTTGCATGGGCGGGGATGAGTGCATGGGCGGGGATGAGTGCATGGGCGGGGATGAGTGCATGGGCGGGGATGAGTGCATGGGCGGGGATGGTTGCATGGGCGGGGATGAGTGCATGGGCGGGGATGGTTGCATGGGCGGGGATGGTTGCATGGGCGGGGATGAGTGCATGGGCGGGGATGGTTGCATGGGCGGGGATGAGTGCATGGGCGGGGATGAGTGCATGGGCGGGGATGGTTGCATTGGCGGGGATGAATGCATGGGCGGGGATGGTTGCATGGGCGGGGATGGTTGCATGGGCGGGGATGGTTGCATGGGCGGGGATGGTTGCATGGGCGGGGATGAGTGCATGGGCGGGGATGGTTGCATGGGCGGGGATGAGTGCATGGGCGGGATGGTTGCATGGGCGGGGATGAGTGCATGGGCGGGGATGGTTGCATTGGCGGGGATGAGTGCAATGGGCGGGGATGAGTGCATGGGCGGGGATGGTTGCATTGGCGGGGATGAGTGCATGGGCGGGGATGGTTGCATGGGCGGGGATGAGTGCATGGGCGGGGATGAGTGCATGGGCAGGGATGAGTGCATGGGCGGGGATGAGTGCATGGGCGGGGATGAGTGCATGGGCGGGGATGAGTGCATGGGCGGGGATGGTTGCATGGGCGGGGATGGTTGCATGGGCGGGGATGAGTGCATGGGCGGGGATGAGTGCATGGGCGGGATGGTTGCATTGGCGGGGATGGTTGCATGGGCGGGGATGGTTGCATGGGCGGGGATGAGTGCATGGGCGGGGATGGTTGCATGGGCGGGGATGAGTGCATGGGCGGGGATGGTTGCATGGGCGGGGATGGTTGCATGGGCGGGGATGAGTGCATGGGCGGGGATGGTTTGCATGGGCGGGGATGGTTGCATGGGCGGGGATGAGTGCATGGGCGGGGATGAGTGCATGGGCGGGGATGGTTGCATGGGCGGGGATGAGTGCATGGGCGGGGATGGTTGCATGGGCGGGGATGAGTGCATGGGCGGGGATGGTTGCATGGGCGGGGATGAGTGCATGGGCGGGGATGAGTGCATGGGCGGGGATGAGTGCATGGGCGGGGATGAGTGCATGGGCGGGGATGAGTGCATGGGCGGGGATGAGTGCATGGGGGGATGAGTGCAGGGCGGGGATGAGTGCATGGGCGGGGATGGGCAGGGGGGGGAGAGTGCATGGGCGGGGATGAGTGCATGGGCGGGGATGAGTGCATGGGCGGGGATGAGTTGCATGGGCGGGGATGAGTGCATGGGCGGGGATGGTTGCATGGGCGGGGATGAGTTGCATGGGCGGGGATGGTTGCATGGGCGGGGATGAGTTGCATGGGCGGGGATGGTTGCATGGGCGGGGATGAGTGCATGGGCGGGGATGAGTTGCATGGGCGGGGATGAGTGCATGGGCGGGGATGAGTTGCATGGCGGGGATGAGTGCATGGGCGGGGATGGTTGCATTGGCGGGGATGAGTTGCATGGGCGGGGATGGTTGCATGGCGGGGATGAGTGCATGGGCGGGGATGGTTGCATGGGCGGGGATGAGTGCATGGGCGGGGATGGTTGCATGGGCGGGGATGGTTGCATGGGCGGGGATGGTTGCATGGCGGGGATGGTTGCATGGGCGGGGATGAGTGCATGGGCGGGGATGGTTGCATGGGCGGGGATGAGTGCATGGGCGGGATGAGTGCATGGCGGGGATGAGTGCAATGGGCGGGGATGGTTGCATTGGCGGGGATGAGTGCAATGGGCGGGGATGGTTGCATGGGCGGGGATGGTTGCATGGCGGGGATGAGTGGCATGGGCGGGGATGAGTGCATGGGCGGGGATGAGTGCATGGGCGGGGATGAGTGCCATGGGCGGGGATGAGTGCATGGGCGGGGATGGTTGCATGGGCGGGATGAGTGCATGGGCGGGGATGGTTGCATGGGCGGGGATGTTTGCATGGGCGGGGATGGTTGCATGGGCGGGATGGTTGCATGGGCGGGGATGAGTGCATGGGCGGGGATGAGTGCATGGGCGGGGATGGTTTGCATTGGCGGGGATGAGTGCATGGGCGGGGATGATGCATGGGCGGGGGATGAGTGCATGGGCGGGGATGAGTGCATGGGCGGGATGAGTGCATGGGCGGGGATGGTTGCATGGGCGGGGATGAGTGCATGGGCGGGGATGAGTGCATGGGCGGGGATGGTTGCATTGGCGGGGATGAGTGCATGGGCGGGGATGAGTGCATGGGCGGGGATGAGTGCATGGGCGGGGATGAGTGCATGGGCGGGGATGAGTGCATGGGCGGGGATGGTTGCATGGGCGGGGATGAGTGCATGGGCGGGGATGGTTGCATGGGCGGGGATGGTTGCATGGGCGGGGATGAGTGCATGGGCGGGGATGAGTGCATGGGCGGGGATGGTTGCATTGGCGGGGATGAGTGCATGGGCGGGGATGAGTGCATGGGCGGGGATGAGTGCATGGGCGGGGATGAGTGCATGGGCGGGGATGAGTGCATGGGCGGGGATGGTTGCATGGGCGGGGATGAGTGCATGGGCGGGGATGGTTGCATGGGCGGGGATGGTTGCATGGGCGGGGATGGTTGCATGGGCGGGGATGGTTGCATGGGCGGGGATGAGTGCATGGGCGGGGATGGTTGCATGGGCGGGGATGAGTGCATGGGCGGGGATGGTTGCATGGGCGGGATGGTTGCATGGGCGGGGATAAGTGCATGGGCGGGGATGGTTGCATGGGCGGGGATGAGTGCATGGGCGGGGATGAGTGCATGGGCGGGGATGGTTGCATGGGCGGGGATGAGTGCATGGGCGGGGATGGTTGCATGGCGGGGATGAGTGCATGGGCGGGGATGAGTGCATGGGCGGGGATGGTTGCATGGGCGGGGATGGTTGCATGGGCGGGGATGGTTGCATGGGCGGGGATGAGTGCATGGGCGGGGATGGTTGCATGGGCGGGGATGAGTGCATGGGCGGGGATGGTTGCATGGGCGGGGATGGTTGCATGGGCGGGGATGAGTGCATGGGCGGGGATGAGTGCATGGGCGGGGATGGTTGCATGGGCGGGGATGAGTGCATGGGCGGGGATGGTTGGATTGGCGGGGATGAGTGCATGGGCGGGGATGAGTGCATGGGCGGGGATGGTTGCATGGGCGGGGATGAGTGCATGGGCGGGGATGGTTGCATTGGCGGGGATGAGTGCATGGGCGGGGATGAGTGCATGGGCGGGGATGGTTGCATGGGCGGGGATGAGTGCATGGGCGGGGATGGTTGCATGGGCGGGGATGAGTGCATGGGCGGGGATGGTTGCATGGGCGGGGATGAGTGCATGGGCGGGGATGAGTGCATGGGCGGGGATGGTTGCATTGGCGGGGATGGTTGCATGGGCGGGGATGGTTGCATGGGCGGGGATGAGTGCATGGGCGGGGATGGTTGCATGGGCGGGGATGGTTGCATGGGCGGGGATGAGTGCATGGGCGGGGATGGTTGCATTGGCGGGGATGAGTGCATGGGCGGGGATGAGTGCATGGGCGGGGATGGTTGCATGGGCGGGGATGGTTGCATGGGCGGGGATGGTTGCATGGGCGGGGATGGTTGCATGGGCGGGGATGAGTGCATGGGCGGGGATGGTTGCATGGGCGGGGATGAGTGCATGGGCGGGGATGGTTGCATGGGCGGGGATGGTTGCATGGGCGGGGATGGTTGCATGGGCGGGGATGGTTGCATGGGCGGGGATGAGTGCATGGGCGGGGATGGTTGCATGGGCGGGGATGAGTGCATGGGCGGGATGAGTGCATGGGCGGGGATGGTTGCATTGGCGGGGATGGTTGCATGGGCGGGGATGGTTGCATGGGCGGGGATGAGTGCATGGGCGGGGATGGTTGCATGGGCGGGGATGGTTGCATGGGCGGGGATGAGTGCATGGGCGGGGATGGTTGCATGGGCGGGGATGAGTGCATGGGCGGGGATGGTTGCATGGGCGGGGATGGTTGCATGGGCGGGGATGAGTGCATGGGCGGGGATGAGTGCATGGGCGGGGATGGTTGCATGGGCGGGGATGGTTGCATGGGCGGGGATGAGTGCATGGGCGGGGATGGTTGCATGGGCGGGGATGGTTGCATGGGCGGGGATGAGTGCATGGGCGGGGATGGTTGCATTGGCGGGGATGAGTGCATGGGCGGGGATGAGTGCATGGGCGGGGATGGTTGCATGGGCGGGGATGAGTGCATGGGCGGGGATGGTTGCATGGGCGGGGATGGTTGCATGGGCGGGGATGGTTGCATGGGCGGGGATGGTTGCATGGGCGGGGATGGTTGCATGGGCGGGGATGAGTGCATGGGCGGGGATGGTTGCATGGGCGGGGATGAGTGCATGGGCGGGGATGGTTGCATGGGCGGGGATGGTTGCATGGGCGGGGATGAGTGCATGGGCGGGGATGGTTGCATGGGCGGGGATGAGTGCATGGGCGGGGATGGTTGCATGGGCGGGGATGGTTGCATGGGCGGGGATGGTTGCATGGGCGGGGATGAGTGCATGGGCGGGGATGAGTGCATGGGCGGGGATGAGTGCATGGGCGGGGATGAGTGCATGGGCGGGGATGGTTGCATGGGCGGGGATGGTTGCATAGGCGGGGATGAGTGCATGGGCGGGGATGAGTGCATGGGCGGGGATGGTTGCATGGGCGGGGATGAGTGCATGGGCGGGGATGAGTGCATGTGCGGGGATGGTTGCATGGGCGGGGATGGTTGCATGGGCGGGGATGAGTGCATGGGCGGGGATGGTTGCATGGGCGGGGATGAGTGCATGGGCGGGGATGGTTGCATGGGCGGGGATGGTTGCATGGGCGGGGATGAGTGCATGGGCGGGGATGAGTGCATGGGCGGGGATGAGTGCATGGGCGGGGATGGTTGCATGGGCGGGGATGGTTGCATGGGCGGGGATGGTTGCATGGGCGGGGATGAGTGCATGGGCGGGGATGGTTGCATGGGCGGGGATGGTTGCATGGGCGGGGATGAGTGCATGGGCGGGGATGAGTGCATGGGCGGGGATGAGTGCATGGGCGGGGATGAGTGCATGGGCGGGGATGGTTGCATGGGCGGGGATGAGTGCATGGGCGGGGATGGTTGCATGGGCGGGGATGGTTGCATGGGCGGGGATGGTTGCATGGGCGGGGATGGTTGCATGGGCGGGGATGAGTGCATGGGCGGGGATGAGTGCATGGGCGGGGATGAGTGCATGGGCGGGGATGGTTGCATGGGCGGGGATGAGTGCATGGGCGGGGATGAGTGCATGGGCGGGGATGGTTGCATGGGCGGGGATGGTTGCATGGGCGGGGATGGTTGCATGGGCGGGGATGAGTGCATGGGCGGGGATGGTTGCATGGGCGGGGATGGTTGCATGGGCGGGGATGAGTGCATGGGCGGGGATGAGTGCATGGGCGGGGATGAGTGCATGGGCGGGGATGAGTGCATGGGCGGGGATGGTTGCATGGGCGGGGATGAGTGCATGGGCGGGGATGGTTGCATGGGCGGGGATGGTTGCATGGGCGGGGATGGTTGCATGGGCGGGGATGAGTGCATGGGCGGGGATGAGTGCATGGGCGGGGATGGTTGCATGGGCGGGGATGAGTGCATGGGCGGGGATGGTTGCATGGGCGGGGATGGTTGCATGGGCGGGGATGGTTGCATGGGCGGGGATGAGTGCATGGGCGGGGATGAGTGCATGGGCGGGGATGAGTGCATGGGCGGGGATGGTTGCATGGGCGGGATGGTTGCATGGGCGGGGATGAGTGCATGGGCGGGGATGAGTGCATGGGCGGGGATGGTTGCATGGGCGGGGATGAGTGCATGGGCGGGGATGAGTGCATGGGCGGGGATGAGTGCATGGGCGGGGATGAGTGCATGGGCGGGGATGAGTGCATGGGCGGGGATGGTTGCATGGGCGGGGATGAGTGCATGGGCGGGGATGAGTGCATGGGCGGGGATGAGTGCATGGGCGGGGATGGTTGCATGGGCGGGGATGAGTGCATGGGCGGGGATGGTTGCATGGGCGGGGATGAGTGCATGGGCGGGGATGGTTGCATGGGCGGGGATGGTTGCATGGGCGGGGATGAGTGCATGGGCGGGGATGGTTGCATTGGCGGGGATGAGTGCATGGGCGGGGATGAGTGCATGGGCGGGGATGGTTGCATGGGCGGGGATGGTTGCATGGGCGGGGATGAGTGCATGGGCGGGGATGGTTGCATGGGCGGGGATGAGTGCATGGGCGGGGATGGTTGCATGGGCGGGGATGGTTGCATGGGCGGGGATGAGTGCATGGGCGGGGATGAGTGCATGGGCGGGGATGAGTGCATGGGCGGGGATGAGTGCATGGGCGGGGATGGTTGCATGGGCGGGGATGGTTGCATAGGCGGGGATGAGTGCATGGGCGGGGATGAGTGCATGGGCGGGGATGGTTGCATGGGCGGGGATGAGTGCATGGGCGGGGATGAGTGCATGGGCGGGGATGGTTGCATGGGCGGGGATGGTTGCATGGGCGGGGATGAGTGCATGGGCGGGGATGGTTGCATGGGCGGGGATGGTTGCATGGGCGGGGATGGTTGCATGGGCGGGGATGAGTGCATGGGCGGGGATGAGTGCATGGGCGGGGATGAGTGCATGGGCGGGGATGGTTGCATGGGCGGGGATGAGTGCATGGGCGGGGATGAGTGCATGGGCGGGGATGAGTGCATGGGCGGGGATGAGTGCATGGGCGGGGATGGTTGCATGGGCGGGGATGGTTGCATGGGCGGGGATGAGTGCATGGGCGGGGATGGTTGCATGGGCGGGGATGAGTGCATAGGCGGGGATGGTTGCATGGGCGGGGATGGTTGCATGGGCGGGGATGAGTGCATGGGCGGGGATGAGTGCATGGGCGGGGATGAGTGCATGGGCGGGGATGAGTGCATGGGCGGGGATGGTTGCATGGGCGGGGATGGTTGCATGGGCGGGGATGGTTGCATAGGCGGGGATGAGTGCATGGGCGGGGATGAGTGCATGGGCGGGGATGAGTGCATGGGCGGGGATGAGTGCATGGGCGGGGATGGTTGCATGGGCGGGGATGAGTGCATGGGCGGGGATGAGTGCATGGGCGGGGATGAGTGCATGGGCGGGGATGAGTGCATGGCGGGATGAGTGCATGGGCGGGGATGGTTGCATTGGCGGGGATGAGTGCATGGGCGGGGATGAGTGCATGGGCGGGGATGGTTGCATGGGCGGGGATGAGTGCATGGGCGGGGATGAGTGCATTGGCGGGGATGAGTGCATGGGCGGGGATGAGTGCATGGGCGGGGATGGTTGCATGGGCGGGGATGGTTGCATGGGCGGGGATGGTTGCATAGGCGGGGATGAGTGCATGGGCGGGGATGAGTGCATGGGCGGGGATGGTTGCATGGGCGGGGATGAGTGCATGGGCGGGGATGAGTGCATGGGCGGGGATGGTTGCATGGGCGGGGATGGTTGCATGGGCGGGGATGAGTGCATGGGCGGGGATGAGTGCATGGGCGGGGATGAGTGCATGGGCGGGGATGAGTGCATGGGCGGGGATGAGTGCATGGGCGGGGATGAGTGCATGGGCGGGGATGAGTGCATGGGCGGGGATGGTTGCATGGGCGGGGATGAGTGCATGGGCGGGGATGGTTGCATGGGCGGGGATGGTTGCATGGGCGGGGATGAGTGCATGGGCGGGGATGAGTGCATGGGCGGGGATGAGTGCATGGGCGGGGATGAGTGCATGGGCGGGGATGAGTGCATGGGCGGGGATGGTTGCATGGGCGGGGATGAGTGCATGGGCGGGGATGAGTGCATGGGCGGGGATGGTTGCATGGGCGGGGATGAGTGCATGGGCGGGGATGGTTGCATGGGCGGGGATGAGTGCATGGGCGGGGATGAGTGCATGGGCGGGGATGAGTGCATGGGCGGGGATGAGTGCATGGGCGGGGATGGTTGCATGGGCGGGGATGGTTGCATGGGCGGATGAGTGCATGGGCGGGGATGAGTGCATGGGCGGGGATGGTTGCATGGGCGGGGATGGTTGCATGGGCGGGGATGGTTGCATGGGCGGGGATGGTTGCATGGGCGGGGATGGTTGCATGGGCGGGGATGAGTGCATGGGCGGGGATGGTTGCATGGGCGGGGATGAGTGCATGGGCGGGGATGGTTGCATGGGCGGGGATGGTTGCATGGGCGGGGATGAGTGCATGGGCGGGGATGGTTGCATGGGCGGGGATGAGTGCATGGGCGGGGATGGTTGCATGGGCGGGGATGAGTGCATGGGCGGGGATGGTTGCATGGGCGGGGATGGTTGCATGGGCGGGGATGAGTGCATGGGCGGGGATGGTTGCATGGGCGGGGATGAGTGCATGGGCGGGGATGGTTGCATGGGCGGGGATGGTTGCATGGGCGGATGAGTGCATGGGCGGGGATGGTTGCATGGGCGGGGATGGTTGCATGGGCGGGGATGGTTGCATGGGCGGGGATGGTTGCATGGGCGGGGATGAGTGCATGGGCGGGGATGGTTGCATGGGCGGGGATGAGTGCATGGGCGGGGATGGTTGCATGGGCGGGGATGGTTGCATGGGCGGGGGATGGTTGCATGGGCGGGGATGGTTGCATGGTGCATGGGCGGGGATGAGTGCATGGGCGGGGATGGTTGCATGGGCGGGGATGAGTGCATGGGCGGGGATGGTTGCATGGGCGGGGATGAGTGCATGGGCGGGGATGAGTGCATGGGCGGGGATGGTTGCATGGGCGGGGATGAGTGCATGGGCGGGGATGGTTGCATGGGCGGGGATGAGTGCATGGGCGGGGATGGTTGCATGGGCGGGGATGAGTGCATGGGCGGGGATGGTTGCATGGGCGGGGATGGTTGCATGGGCGGGGATGGTTGCATGGGCGGGGATGGTTGCATGGGCGGGGATGAGTGCATGGGCGGGGATGGTTGCATGGGCGGGGATGGTTGCATGGGCGGGGATGAGTGCATGGGCGGGGATGGTTGCATGGGCGGGGATGAGTGCATGGGCGGGGATGGTTGCATGGGCGGGGATGGTTGCATGGGCGGGGATGGTTGCATGGGCGGGGATGAGTGCATGGGCAGGGATGGTTGCATGGGCGGGGATGGTTGCATGGGCGGGGATGAGTGCATGGGCGGGGATGGTTGCATGGGCGGGGATGGTTGCATGGGCGGGGATGGTTGCATGGGCGGGGATGGTTGCATGGGCGGGGATGAGTGCATGGGCGGGGATGGTTGCATGGGCGGGGATGAGTGCATGGGCGGGGATGGTTGCATGGGCGGGGATGAGTGCATGGGCGGGGATGGTTGCATGGGCGGGGATGGTTGCATGGGCGGGGATGAGTGCATGGGCGGGGATGGTTGCATGGGCGGGGATGAGTGCATGGGCGGGGATGAGTGCATGGGCGGGGATGAGTGCATGGGCGGGGATGGTTGCATGGGCGGGGATGAGTGCATGGGCGGGGATGGTTGCATGGGCGGGGATGAGTGCATGGGCGGGGATGGTTGCATGGGCGGGGATGAGTGCATGGGCGGGGATGGTTGCATGGGCGGGGATGAGTGCATGGGCGGGGATGAGAGCATGGGCGGGGATGGTTGCATGGGCGGGGATGGTTGCATGGGCGGGGATGAGTGCATGGGCGGGGATGAGTGCATGGGCGGGGATGGTTGCATGGGCGGGGATGGTTGCATGGGCGGGGATGAGTGCATGGGCGGGGATGAGTGCATGGGCGGGGATGGTTGCATGGGCGGGGATGAGTGCATGGGCGGGGATGGTTGCATGGGCGGGGATGAGTGCATGGGCGGGGATGAGTGCATGGGCGGGGATGAGTGCATGGGCGGGGATGAGTGCATGGGCGGGGATGGTTGCATGGGCGGGGATGGTTGCATGGGCGGGGATGGTTGCATGGGTGGGGATGGTTGCATGGGCGGGGATGAATGCATGGGCGGGGATGAGTGCATGGGCGGGGATGAGTGCATGGGCGGGGATGAGTGCATGGGCGGGGATGGTTGCATGGGCGGGGATGGTTGCATGGGCGGGGATGGTTGCATGGGTGGGGATGGTTGCATGGGCGGGGATGGTTGCATGGGCGGGGATGAGTGCATGGGCGGGGATGGTTGCATGGGCGGGGATGAGTGCATGGGCGGGGATGGTTGCATGGGCGGGGATGAGTGCATGGGCGGGGATGGTTGCATGGGCGGGGATGAGTGCATGGGCGGGGATGAGTGCATGGGCGGGGATGAGTGCATGGGCGGGGATGAGTGCATGGGCGGGGATGGTTGCATGGGCGGGGATGGTTGCATGGGCGGGGATGGTTGCATGGGTGGGGATGGTTGCATGGGCGGGGATGAATGCATGGGCGGGGATGAGTGCATGGGCGGGGATGAGTGCATGGGCGGGGATGAGTGCATGGGCGGGGATGAGTGCATGGGCGGGGATGAGTGCATGGGCGGGGATGGTTGCATGGGCGGGGATGGTTGCATGGGCGGGGATGGTTGCATGGGTGGGGATGGTTGCATGGGCGGGGATGGTTGCATGGGCGGGGATGAGTGCATGGGCGGGGATGAGTGCATGGGCGGGGATGGTTGCATGGGCGGGGATGGTTGCATGGGCGGGGATGAGAGCATGGGCGGGGATGGTTGCATGGGCGGGGATGGTTGCATGGGCGGGGATGAGTGCATGGGCGGGGATGAATGCATGGGCGGGGATGAGTGCATGGGCGGGGATGAGTGCATGGGCGGGGATGAGTGCATGGGCGGGGATGAGTGCATGGGCGGGGATGAGTGCATGGGCGGGGATGGTTGCATGGGCGGGGATGGTTGCATGGGCGGGGATGGTTGCATGGGTGGGGATGGTTGCATGGGCGGGGATGGTTGCATGGGCGGGGATGAGTGCATGGGCGGGGATGAGTGCATGGGCGGGGATGGTTGCATGGGCGGGGATGAGTGCATGGGCGGGGATGGTTGCATGGGCGGGGATGAGTGCATGGGCGGGGATGAGTGCATGGGCGGGGATGAGTGCATGGGCGGGGATGAGTGCATGGGCGGGGATGAGTGCATGGGCGGGGATGGTTGCATGGGCGGGGATGGTTGCATGGGCGGGGATGGTTGCATGGGCGGGGATGAGTGCATGGGCGGGGATGAGTGCATGGGCGGGGATGAGTGCATGGGCGGGGATGAGTGCATGGGCGGGGATGAGTGCATGGGCGGGGATGAGTGCATGGGCGGGGATGAGTGCATGTGAGGGGATGGGTGGATGTGCGGGTGCGGGTGGGACACACAGCACCATGCACTGCTGCACTGGCCCACCTCCTCCATGCCCTTCCAGCTGCATCCTTCAATCAACGCACATACACTTTCTGCGCATCCATGCATGACCCCATACATGCATGACCCCATACATGCATGATCCCATCCATGCATGACCCCATCCATGCATGACCCCATCCATGCATGATCCCATCCATGCATGACCCCATCCACATTCATGCGCGTCTCACAAGCACCACCATGCCACCATGCCACCATGCCACCATGCCACCATGCCACCATGCCACCATGCCCCATGCAACAGTATACACAGTGTGGACACACCTCCTCCCTTGCAATCCTCGTTTTGCTCCCATGGACTCCGTAATCTCCTTCAACCAATCCCATCCATCCCACCCCGGCCATTCAACCCTCTCCGTTGCCCATCCCTCCATGCAGCACGCATCTGCAGTGCGCCCTCACAGGCAGCACCACCACGCACACAGCAGCAGCCATCCGCCGCCACACCGCAGGCCACCACTTTCAAGCTGCTCTTGGTATGCCCCCACCCCACCCACCCACACTCACCTCCACGGTAAGTACAAAGCTCCGCACCATGCTTTGATTCTCTTTACCCGTTATGCCTCTGCACTGTGCTTTGCACCACAGCTACCATCCACCTGCACACTGCTGATCACCGCTCCCAAGCTGCTCTTGGTATGACCTCCCCGCAATCCTCCCCTTGCATTCATACACTCACCCCCATACTCACCCCTGCACTCAACCCTCCACTCAACCCTCCACTCAACCCTCCACTCAACCCTCCACTCAACCCTCCACTCACCCTTCCACTCACCCTTCCACAGCACACCTTCTCTGTAACAATGCCCTCTCTGCTCCTGCCACCCACACACAGCCGTTCCCCACCCTCTCACTGTGTAACGATTGCGACCAGTACATGTAACCATTTTGTGTACCCATGCGTTCTAGCCATTCAGTGCTATCACCCCACATGCTACCACACCCATGCCACTGTTAAACAGCTAGAATTGATACATTGAATAATGAGCCAAGAGGCTCTTTAGTACAAACAATGAGCAAGAGAGAGATGAGAGGAAAGCTTACCCTATTGGCCAATAAGTTGGCCAATGGGTGAGCTTGCTTGTGACCCAAGCAACCACAAATGTGTGTTGGTTGGGATTGGTTGAGCTAAGGACCAATCCCAACCAACCACAAAATGTGGTTGGAGGGTACACTAAGCAACCCCCCAATTTATGAATGTGCTACACTTCTAGCCTATGTATGTTGTATGAAATATGAAATTACAACACAACCCCCCAACATGCATAAGGCTAGAAGGCTAGAGTCAAGAGGCGGGAGGCGACTTAGGAGGAGTGAGGCCAAGAAGACGAAGTAGGAAAGAGTGAGCGGCATGAGGAAGAGCTTTTGTGAAGATGTCGGCAAGGTTGGCCGCCGAGTCAACCTTGTCGAGGCGAAGGTGCCCCGCCTGAACAAGTTCGCGAATGAAGAAATGACGGAGCTCAATGTGCTTGGAGCGCCCGTGAAACACAGCATCTTTGGTGAGGTGAATGGTACTAGCATTGTCACACCAAATTGTGGGACAGCGCTGGGGGGCACCAAGTTCCTCAAGAAGGAAGGTGAGCCAGCGGGCCTCTTGCGCAGCCATGGTGGCGGCATACAATTCCGCCTCGCAGGAGGAGAGGGCTGCAGCCGAGGAGCGGGTGGAGCGCCAGCTGATAAGGCCGCTGCCAAGAGAGAAGCCATAGCCCTGGGAGGAGCGACGATCTGGCCGGGAATCAGCCCAAGAGGAGTCACTGTAGCCGCTGAGGAGAGGTGGGGAGGGGCCGCCAAGGGTAAGGACATAGTCCTTGGTGCCACGAAGGTACCGGAGGACACGCTTGGCGGCCTGCCAGTGCTCTTCCGTATGCTTGCCTGCGCCAACAAAACGAGCGAGGACGCTGATGGGGTAGGCAAGGTCAGGGCGAGTGGAGACCATGGCGTACATGAGGGAGCCGATGAGCTCGGGATAAGGATGGGAGGAGGCTGAGGGGGAGGTGGGTGGAGAGAGGTGGTGCCCGACAGAAAGAGGAGTAGGTTGGGCGCCACCGCGGACCATGTCAAACCGCTCCAAGACCTGCTGCAAGTAATGACCCTGGGAGAGAGAGATGGTGCGGGCGGAGCGGTCGCGGGTGATGGTCATGCCCAAGTAATGCTGCAGCTCGCCCAAGTCCTTGCATTTGAGACGGCTGCCCAACTCAGCCTTAACACGCTCCAATTCGCCAAGGTCGGCAGTGAGCAGAATCATGTCATCGACATACACAAGGATGTAGAACGGGGAGGGGCAGGTGCGGAGGAAGAGGCTGGCGTCAGAGCGGGAGGTGCGGAACCCAAGTTCAGCAAGGGTGGCGGCAAGCTTAGCATGCCACTCCCTCGGGGCCTGTCGAAGCCCATACACAGGGCGACGCAGCTGCCAGACAGAGTCTGCAGGGAAGGGAAGGTGAAAACCGGCTGGACGCTCCATGTAGATAAGCTCGCGGAGGACGCCTTGGAGGAAAGCGTTAGAGACGTCCATCGAGTGGATCTCCATATTGAGGCGAGCGGCGAGGTCGAGCACGGCTGCGAACAGTAGCAGGCTTGGCAGTGGGAGAGAAGGTATCGAAGAAGTCAAAACCATACCGCTGCGTGAACCCCTTGGCACAGTAACGAGCCTTATAGACGGGCGGCTCCCCTGGCAGCTGTTTGACGCGAAACACCCACTTCCCTTTCACCACGTTCGTAGAGGAGGGAGGGCGAGGCACATCAACGAAGGAGGAGTTGGCGACAAAGGCCTCCAGCTCCTTGATAATGGCGGCGAGCCACAGTGGGGCGTCGGGGCAAGCCATGGCCTCCTCATACGTGGTAGGGATGAAAACGGAGGGAGCAGAGGAGAATGCGAATACTGGTGTCTCAGAAAGGTCGAAGGTGATGGGTAGAAGGGAAGGGTCACAGAGGTGGAGGTCAAGGAACTCCTCATGTGAGTCCTCGGAGAGGGAGGTGTGGAAGGAGCGGATGACCGTTGGTGCCGCTGGTGCCGCTGCACGTGCCGCTGCTGGTGCCGCTGCTGGTGCCGCTGCTGGTGCCGCTGCTGGTGCCGCTGCTGGTGCCGCTGCTGGTGCCGCTGCTGGTGCCGCTGCTGGTGCCGCTGCTGGTGCCGCTGCTGGTGCCGCTGCTGGTGCCGCTGCTAGTGCCGCTGCTGGTGCCGCTGCTGGTGCCGCTGCTGGTCCCGCTGCTGGTCCCGCTGCTGGTGCCGCTGCTGGTCCTGCTGCAGGTGTCGCTGCTGGTCCTGCTGCTGGTGCCGCTGCGGGTGCCGTTGCGGACGCTGCTGCTGGCGCCGCTGCTGGAGAGGTGGCAGAGGGGGCTGCTGCAGGAGGAGGTTGATGCAGAACAGCCTGGAAGAAGTGGTGAAGGAGAGGGGAGAGTGGGGGGAGGGTAGAGGTAGAGAGGGTAACAGGGGGCGGTGCACCAAGGATACTGTCACGTGACCTGGTATGGGGGTACCGGGTAAGTACGGTGCGGGGAGGGGGGGAAGGACGAGTCGGCGGCGAGGGAGGTGAAGGAGGGGCGGGAGGGGCACTAGGAGAGGAATGTGTGGGGGAGACGGGAGAGGACAGAGGTTCCGGGTCAAATATATCACCAGACGAGGGAGGGGCACCGCGGGATGGGGACGACGGTGGGGGGGGGGGAGGGAGGATGGGGGGAGGAGGAAGTAGTGGGGGAGGGGTGGTGTCAGACCAGACAAGGGGACGGGGAAGACGGGGGAGTGGGTCAGTGGATGGGGGAGAGGAGTAGTAGGGAGTGGACTCATCAAAGACCACATCCCTACTGCGGAATAGACGACCTGAGGGGGGATGGAGGAAAAGGTAGTCAGGTGAGGAGGAGTTATGACCAAGAAAGATGCAGGGAAGGGTACGAGGGGCAAGCTTTCCCATAGAGCGGGAGCGGTCAGTGGGGTGACGGAGAACATAAGCCTTTGAGCCCCAGACACGAAGAGACGAGACATCAGGTTTGTTGTTCGTCCACAGCTCAGTGGGGGTGGTGGATGGGAGAAGAGGGTGAGGGTAAAGGTTAGTAAGGAGGGCGGCATGAAGGAGGGCGTAGCCCCACAGAGAAGGAGGGCAGGAGGCGTGGACAAGAAGACACCGGGCAGTTTTGGTGATCTCTCGAACACGACTTTCAGCCACACCGTTCTGCTGTGGGGAGTGAGGGAGGGTGTAAGTCTGAAGAATGCCATGAGACTGACAATAGGAGGATATTTGGTTGTTAAGGAACTCACCACCACCATCAGAGTGAAGGCGGCGAACAGGGCGCCCAAAATGGGTATTTGCCCGCTCGAGCCAGGCGATGATCGCAGCTGGGGCATCTGCCTTCGTCCGAAGGAGAGAGACGGACGAGTACCGACTGTGATCATCGACGAGTACGAGGAGGTATCGATGGCCCTGGCGAGTGGGAGAGGAATTGGGGCCCCAGAGGTCCATGTGAACAAGATCAAGTGGCTGAGCAGCAGCGGAGGGGGAGCTCCGGTGCGGCTGCTGCTTGAGCTTGCTCTGAACGCAGACGGTGCAGGGGGGGGCAGGGGATTTGGGGAGGGGAGGGAGGGAGGAGGGGAGACCGTGGAGGAGACCGGTGGAAACAGAGGAGCGTAGAGTAGCGAAGTTAGGGTGACCTAGCCTGTGATGGAGGAGGACGGCAGGGTGGGAGAGGGAGCGACAGGAGCAGGAGGAGTCAAGGGGAGGGCGGGAAGGGAGGTCCGGGTTAGTGGGAGGGAGAGGAGGAGGTGGGATGAGAGGGTGGAGGGGGGGACAAGAGATGACCTGACAGGAGGGGAGGCGAGGAACCCGAAGGGTGTACAGACGGGAGCGAGGGCAAAAGGGAATGCGAGAAAGGAACTGGCCGGTGGCGGAATGGTAGAGAGCGCAATAGTTAGCATGAGCTGGGAATACTGTGGTGATACCGGCTTGCTGAAGGGACCTTTGCGAAAGGAGATTAGCGCGAAGAGAGGGTATGTGGAGACCGGTGACAGTGCCTGAGGGGAAGAGTGGGCAGGGGAGTCGCCCGTCTATAAGGCTCGTTACTGTGCCAAGGGGTTCACGCAGCGGTATGGTTTTGACTTCTTCGAGAGAAGGGTTGACTCGGGGCATGGTGGGCTTGGGTGGAGAGTTTACACTGAAGTCCCCGAGTCGGGCCATAGCGAGGCACATATTCACGAGGAGAGAAGGCTGCTGCTGCGCCGCAGCCTGCGCTCAAACCCCTGACACCACAATATCCTGCGAGTCTCCCTTGACCACCACCACAGCTGCCACTATGCCCTCCTCCATGCCCACCGGTACCACTGCTGATGCATGCCAGTGCGACTGTTGCCATGGGGGAAGCAATGTGGGGTGTGGGCGGTCACGGCATGGCACAGGCGAGCAGGGCATGAAGGTGTGCGCAGGCAGCTGACGGTATGCGCAGGCAGCTGACGGTATGCGCAGGCAGCTGACGGTATGCGCAGGCGGGTGTGCTGTATGTGCTCCCAGGTGTGCGGTATGTGCTGACAGGTGTGCGGTATGTGCTGACAGGTGTGCGGTATGTGTTGTCAGGTGTGCGGTATGTGCTGTCAGGTGTGCGGTATGTGCTGTCAGGTGTGCGGTATGTGCTGTCAGGTGTGCGGTATGTGCTGTCAGATGTGCTGTATGCGCGTGCAGATGTGCTGTATGCCAGGGAGGTGGGCAGGGGGCGGACGAGGGGAGGGGGACAGCGAGCGGGGAAGGAGGGCGTGCAACGAGTGCGCGGACGGGGAGAGCGTGGACGACCGGAGCGCGGACGAGCAGGGCGTGCAGACGAACAGGGCGCGCGGACGGCCAGGGTGCGGATGACTAGGGCGCGCGGACGGGCAGGGCGCGGACGCGAAGGGCGGATGAGCAGGGCGTGCGGACGGGCAGGGCGCGGACGAGCAGGGCGTGCGGACGGGCAGGGCGGGGACGCGAAGGGCGGACGAGCAGAGCGCGCGGACGGGCAGGGCGCGGACGACCAGGGCGCGCGGTCGGACTAGCAAGGGCGTGCGAGTTGCAGATCTGAGCACGCGGAATGCAGATTTGGGCGCGGGAGAGTAGATCTGAGTGCGGAATGTGCAGATCTGAGCGCGAAATGCGCAGATCTGAGGGCAGGAGGAGTAGAGCAGGGCGCGGGAGGAGTAGATCTGAGCTCGGGAGGAGGAGATGTGAGCTCGGGAGGAGTAGATCTGAGTTCGGGAGGAGTAGATCTGAGCTGGGGAGGAGTAGATCTGAGCTCGGGAGGAGTAGATCTGAGCTCGGGAGGAGTAGATCTGAGCTGGGGAGGAGTAGATCTGAGCTCGGGAGGAGTAGATCTGAGCTCGGGAGGAGTAGATCTGAGCTGGGGAGGAGTAGATCTGAGCTCGGGAAGAGTAGATCTGAGCTCGGGAGGAGTAGATCTGAGCTGGGGAGGAGTAGATCTGAGCTCGGGAGGAGTAGATCTGAGCTCGGGAGGAGTAGATCTGAGCTGGGGAGGAGTAGATCTGAGCTGGGGAGGAGTAGATCTGAGCTGGGGAGGAGTAGATCTGAGCTGGGGAGGAGTAGATCTGAGCTGGGGAGGAGTAGATCTGAGCTGGGGAGGAGTAGATCTGAGCTGGGGAGGAGTAGATCGGAGCTCGGGAGGAGGAGATGTGAGCTCGGGAGGAGTAGATCTGAGCTCGGGAGGAGAAGATCTGAGCTCGGGAGGAGAAGATCGGAGCTCGAGAGGGGTAGATCTGAGCTTGGGAGCACCGTAGTAGGACTACGTCTGAGGGACGGGGAGGAGAGGGTGGCCTAAGGACCGAGGGATCAAGGCGTGAGCCAATAGCTCATGATACCATGTTAAACAGCTAGAATTGATACATTGAATAATGAGCCAAGAGGCTCTTTAGTACAAACAATGAGCAAGAGAGAGATGAGAGGAAAGCTTACCCTATTGGCCAATAAGTTGGCCAATGGGTGAGCTTGCTTGTGACCCAAGCAACCACAAATGTGTGTTGGTTGGGATTGGTTGAGCTAAGGACCAATCCCAACCAACCACAAAATGTGGTTGGAGGGTACACTAAGCAACCCCCCAATTTATGAATGTGCTACACTTCTAGCCTATGTATGTTGTATGAAATATGAAATTACAACAGCCACCCCCCCCCCATGCCACCCCCCATGCCACCACCCCCCATGGGCAGCCAGATTGGAGCCCAACAAGGCTGCTGTGCAGCGACTGGATCAGGTGGGTTGGCTGTTTGGGTGGCGTGCTGGTGTGCAGGCATGGTGACATGGTGGTAGACTAGTGGAGCGGCGTCGTTACTGTTATGGTGTATACGTACTCATCGTATGTGTTCCTGCTCTGATCGTTGTGTTCTGATGTTTTGGTGTGTTTGTGCGGTGCATGCTGTGTGGTGCTTGCGTTGCGGGTCTAGTGGAAGGGGATGGGCAACTCACTGCAACTCACTGCAACTCACTGCAACTCACTGCAACTCACTGCAACTCCCTGCAACTCACTGCAACTCACTGCAACTCACTGCAACTCACTGCAACTCCCTGCAACTCACTGCAACTCACTGCAACTCCCTGCAACTCACTGCAACTCACTGCAACTCACTGCAACTCACTGCAACTCCCTGCAACTCCCTGGAACTCCCTGCAACTCCCTGCAACAGTCCTCCTGCCCACGTCTCCATGCCAACCAGTGCACCGCACATGAGGGCAGTGCCTGTCAGTTGCGAGCATTGATTCAAACCGTGCCTATGGGCTTGGATGTCTGTGTGTGTGTGTGTTACTGTCTGCTGCGGTCTGTGCATGTGCATGTTGTGGGTGGGTGGGTGGGGATGCGGACACTATCCCACTACCAGTGGCAACAAGCCATAGCAGCACAGCAGCAACAGGCTGTAGCAGAAGAGGATGTAGCATTGCAGCAGCAGTGTCTCCCTGAGGACACTTGTGCAGTGCTGGCAGCAGACGGACGAGATGTAGCGCATGCACCACTGCAGCCCCATCAGCCCATGGCATCGTTACATTCACATGCCATGCATGGTCCGATGGAAGGCACTGCTGTGCTGCATGTCCCCCCCATGGATGAGGATCAACCCATGGGTTACGACGCCGATGCATCACTGTAAGTCTTGCTACCCCTCACATGCACTGCCCACTCGTGCCGTGTTGTGTGACTCTATTTCTGCCATGCCTCATACCCCTTCAACCTTGCTTCATCCTGCCATGTCCATGTGGTCGATTGTATGTCTCTTATTTGCGTCTCTCATGCATCCATGTCTCTCATGCATCCATGTCCAGTATGTGTCATATAATTCCATGTGCCGAATGCATGCAATGCAACCACCATCTCTCCCACTCCAGCTTGGTTTCATACTGGTTACCACTTGTCAATCATGTAACACATGCCCGTGAATACCATTTCTCAGGAACTGCACAGCCATTCACTCAATAGCATGCCATGCCACGCCTTGTCGCACAGAGCATGCCTTTGCGTGTCGGTGTGCCACATACAGCACCCGTGCGCTCTGCTCTGCCATACCATGCAACTATGTACCTTGTATCCGTGTCTCCTTGTCCTTGCAGCCAAAAAACGACCGTGGTGGGCTCTGCTGGTCCGCTTCAATGCTCCACGCCACAAGAAAAGATGCCTTTGAGTGTAACCTGGATTTACTTTTACAGTATGCTTGATGGTGTTTCTGGTGTGGGGATTTTCCCCTCCTGCCTACACTGTATGCGGTGACAATTTTAGATGCAATGCGGCCCGCGTGCACATTAACTACTGCATACAAAACTCTATAATACATCACATGTTACAACAATCAGGAGGCCCTCGTTTACTGATCATCAGTGTGTAGCAGCGAAAGTGCTTTGCAATTGGGAAAAGTGTGAACTCAACGGTGATGGTTACCTACCAACCATAAACATCATGTGTAATGATTCATCATGATACAGCAATTCAAGTGACGCCCACCAGTGAACTGTCAGAGGAACAGTCTCTATGTGAACAGCATGTCATGGATGGAAACACATAGCTTACTTGCACAGCCGCAAGCGATACTGGGGCAGCTTGGTTGACATGCAGGACATCAGATCATATCATATCAGATCATATCAAATCAGATAAGATCAGATCAGATCAAATCAGAATGGGTGCAAAAGGTGGTGTCACTGCCTCTGGTGTGTGGAGGAGCTTGACTCGGCATTCGCATTCTCAGCTGGGAGGAGGGAAGGTCATGAAGAAGGAACGGATAGATGCCTTGGGAGGGGAGAATGGTACTGTACGTGGTTAATGGCGCGTGGTGGACATGGTGAGAAATGGAGATATGGCACAGTGGGACACAGCTGGAGCACCAGGAGGTAGCGAAAACAAGAGGGTGATAGTGATGACTTCATGAATTGATAGGTTGAGTTGCAAGGGTTGATTGCCCAGCACATAGTTGATGGACTACTAGAAGCATGCACAGGGTTGAGAAGGTCTGCACAGGGTTGAGGAGGTCGGCTTCCCTCCACCCCCCTTGCCTACCTACCCCCAGCATCTCCCAGCCCTGCCAACCTCCCCTCCTTCGCCCTCCATTGGGATGGTGGTTACCTGAAGAGGCGGCGGCATAACGGACAGTTGGTGCAGCAGAGTGATGGGCACAAGAGGACGTCACATGAGGACCCGCAACAGCTTTAGCAGCCGTGGCACGAATGGCTGTAGTGGCAGGAGGAGGAGCAGCAAGAAGGTCGGCATGAGGAGCAGCAGCGGTCGCATGACTGCCTGCAGTTGAAGGCGCCCCCGTGGCTGACGTTGCACTCGCAGACTGACCCCGGGAAAAGAAGAATGGGAAGGGAAGAGAGAAAGAAAGGGAAGAGATAACGAGAATAAAATAACTGGATGAGGTCTGATATTGTCAGCAAGAGTGACCTACATGACTTGCATTCCTTACAAGGGCAAACACGGAAACACACCACCACATACTTTCGACTGAACGTATCTGGGTAAATGAATCTGAACGCAACTGGGTAAGTGAAATTTGGCAACCAAATAGCTTCATGGAAGCAGCACTAGCGGAAAGCTGGAGGTTGGACTCACATGGTTGGCATGGTAACTGATGGCACCTTCCCCTTCGTGATCCCCATCCTCCATACTTTGCAGTGTCCCCTCCTCCCTCCCCTCGTCAATGACCCTTCCCTCCTCTGCCACCGCTGGTCCTGTTGCAACTGCACTCACTCTATTGATGTAAGACTCGTAAAAATGCCCCTACAAGAGGATTTACGGCCATGCACAGAAGACATGTCTCAAACTTGATAAGAGGGAGATCTCTGGCGTCGTGTAAAATATCCTTACTTATCCCAAGTGTTCCACCTTCAGACATGCTATCGTATTAATAGAGAGAAATGCCATGACACCTACTGGGATTGTTGGCAGGACGCACCTTGGTGCAGGCATATCGAACGGTGATTAAGAAATCCTTGGTGCTTTTGGCGATCGATTCACTGTTCACAATCAAGCAGCTGTGAACCCTTTCTTCACAGGTGTCCCAGACCTGCCAAACGATTCAGCCAGAGTGTCTTCAGTTGTTCAAGGGGGAAAACGGGAAACCATAGATGGGGAAAATTCAGGTAGGGTTTTCTCTTCTTACTAAAAAAAATAATGAACTAGTCACACCTTAGAGGAGCAGAAAGGGCAGGACTCGTCTTGCACGAAGGAACGACCAATACGTGAATAATACAACCTGATGGCAGGGAAAATGAGATCATGAGAAGATAAAAGCAGTGACACTCCCTCTTCGGAATAAAACCTTTGGATTGTGGTTTCTTCATTAACATCGACCTAGCAAATCCCAGACGCCAATCAACCTGCGGATCATTGTTGTAAGGACCTTCTCTCGGTCCAGGAGGTTCAAGACCCTTCAAGACACAAGCCCCCCCAAACACGACACCACCAAGGACGCCCTTACGGCCTGACATCTATATGACAGGCTGGCTGGTTGGTGTACAAGCCTCGCTTGCCACCCCCATACCCCACTTCTCTCGCGCCCCTCTCTCCTCCCCTCCCTCCCTTGCCATTACCCATGGCACCCCTGCACCTATCTGCCAGCCTAGCCCTCCAAGTAGCGTTGCCAAGTCCTTGAGAGAATTGCATTGCCTACCATGTTTGCTCTACCTACCATTTCATTCAACGAACAAGACCGTTTTTTAGAAAGCTGAGGATAACGCAGCAGAGCACATAGAAGAAAGAGCATAAACATGAAGGCCGAGTAGAAGCGGTGGCCTTACTTGTCAAGATGGTGGTTAACATAAAGCCCTTGTATAAGATACGATTTATCGGTTTGGTCAAGTGCGTCTCGATGGCAGAAGCACCAGATGGTCAGGGAAATGCTGCTAAAGGTTGCGTAACCAAAGGCGGACCCATGCACGCACATGTGTGGCTTATCGCTGTCGCGCTCCTGCTCGGTACCCCCTTACCATGCCTGGGCACCAGTGCATAACTCGTGCAAGGGCTTGAAAGTCCACCCCCTCCATCCACTCCAGCATGAGCCGAAAATATATGTGCAAGGATGCTTCATACACCTCGTTGCCGTTCAAATTCTCAACCCGAAGTTGATCCTCAAAAAGCTCTGAAAGCCTTTTCCGGCAGTGTTGTCAGAACATTATAGTTTATACATTTGTGTTTGCTGTAGTGGGGTAGCCCATAAGGGGTACAACCCAATTAGGGTTAGAGCAGGTCCCCTAGGACCGGTTTGTTTTTGGGCCCACCACCTACCGCCCTGCTAGCCTAGGCCCGCGCCCGTTGCCCCTAGGCCCCGGCCCGTCGCCACCCCTAGCCCGGCCCGTCGCCCCTTGGCGTCGCCCCTAGCTTCTACCTCGGCCCCTTGGCCCCGTCGACCCCGTCGCCCCTAGCTCGGCCCCTCGGCCCCGTCGGCCCCGTCGCCCCTAGCCGTGACCCCGTCGGCCCCGTCGCCCCTAGCTCGGCCCCGTCGCCCCTAGCTCGGCCCCTCGGCCCCGTCGCCTCGGCCCCTTGGCTCCGTCGACCCAGTCGCCCCTAGCTCGGCCCCTCGGCCCCGTCGGCCCCGTCGTCCCTAGCTCGGCCCCCGTCGCCCCTAGCTTCGCGGCCCCCCCGTCGCCCCTAGCTTCGCGACCCCCGGCGCCCCTAGCTTCTCGGCCCACCCCGTCACCCCTAGCTTCGCGACCCCCCCGTCGCCCCTATCTTCGCGACCCCCGTCGCCGCCTAGGCCCTAGGCCCCGCGGCCCCACGTTTTCTGGCCCCGCGGCCCCCACGTTTTCTGGCCCCGCGGCCCCACGTTTCTGGCCCCGCGGCCCTGACGCGCCTACGCCCTGCGGCCCCACGGTTTCTGGCCCCGTGGCCCCACGTTTTCTGGCCCCGCGGCCCTGACGCGCCTAGGCCCTACGCCCCGCGGCCCCCACGTTTTTTGGCCCCACGGCCCCATGTTCTAGCCCCGCGGCCCTGACGCGCCTAGGCCCTACGCCCCGCACCCCCCCCACGTTTTCTGGTCCCGCAGCCCCCACGTTTTCTGGCCCCGCGGCCCCACGTTTCTGGCCCCGCGGCCCTGACGCGCCTAGGCCCTACGCCCCGCACCCCCCACGTTTTCTGGCCCCGCGGCCCCCCACGTTTCTGGCCCCGCGGCCCCACGTTTCTGGCCCCGCGGCCCTGACGCGCCTACGCCCCTAGGCCCCGCGGCCCCACGGTTTCTGGCCCCGTGGCCCCACGTTTTCTGACCCCGCGGCCCTGACACACCTAGGCCCTACGCCCCGCGCCCCCCCCCCCCACGTTTTCTGGCCCTGCAGCCCTGACGCGCCTAGGCCCCGCGGCCCCACGTTTTCTGGCCCCGTCGCGCCCCTCGGCCCCCAGGCCCCTCGGCCCCGCCCCTCGGCCCCTAGGCCCGGCCTCTCGGCCCCTTGGCCCCTTGGCCCCCAGGCACCTCGGCCACTCGGCCCCTAGCCTCGGCCCCTCAGCCTCGTGTTTGGCCCCTCGGCCCCGCCCCTCGGCCCCTAGCCTCGGCCCCTCGGCCTCGTGTTTGGCCCCTCAGCCCCACCCCTTGGCCCCTCGGCCCCTAGTCCCCTCGGCCCCTCGGCCCCTAGGACCCTTTGCCCCTTGGCCCCTAGCCTCGGCCCCTCGGCCCCTTGGCCTCTTGGCCCCTTGGCCCCCAGGCACCTCGGCCCCTTGGCACCTCGGCCCTGTGGCCCCTCCTGTTCGGCCCCTCGGCCCTCACCCTCGTGTTTGGCCTCTCAGCCCCTAGGCCCCTTAGCCCCTCGGCCTCGTGTTAGGCCCCTCGGCCCCGCCCCTCGGCCCCTAGGCTCCTTGGCCCCTCGGCCCCTCGGCCCCGCCACCCTCGTGTTTGGCCCCTCGGCCCCTTGGCTACTGCTGCTACTGCTACTGCTGCTGCTGCTGCTGCTGCTGCTGCTACTGCTGCTCCTGAGTACTGCGCCACTATGGCTTCGCTTAGAGTTCTAGCGTTCGATCATGAGGGCAGACCGGTTGCATTTGACACGTGGCACGACGATCTGCAACTGTACCTATTGAGCGATATTAAGGACAGTGTCTCACTGTTTGACCACGTGTCCGGTGTCGCTCCAGCCCCTCCCGCCACAGCTGACGGTGCGACTCGTTCCCAGTGGCTGTCTCGTGACGCTACTGCCCGCTTAGCCATTCGCAACCACCTGCCGGTGGCCGAATGTACTCACTTTGGACAGCACAGGACGGCACAGGCCCTGTACGACGCTGTCGTTGCTCGCTACTCCTCCCCTGCTACTGCTGCTCTAAGCAGACTGCTACTGCCCTACCTGTTCCCTGAGCTGTCGGCTTTTGCCACCGTAGCGGACCTGGTTACCCACCTGCGCACTAGCGACGCTCGCTACCGCGCTACCGTCCCTGCTCAGTTCCTTGCCACGAACAAGCCCCCCATGTTCATCACCCTCTACTTCATAGTCTCCCGCCTCCCTGACTCTCTTCGCTCTGTCAGGGACCACTTTCTCTCCCTTGACCCCACCTCCCTCACTGTTGACCTCCTCGAGCAGCATCTCCTTGCAGCAGAGACTAGTGCAGTTGCTGTAGGAGTTGCTCGTGGCACTCCGCGCTCGCCCTTCTTTGAGGGGTGCTCCCCCTCCCCCCTTTCCCCCTCCTTCGCCTCTGCTACTGCTGCAGACGTCTCTGTTCCTAAGGATGTCGGTGCTGCTTCGACTAGTGCGAAGCGTCGCAGCATCAAGGGCAAGGGTGGCCGGGGTGGTGGAGGTGGCAGCGGTGGTGGCGGAGGTGGCAGTGGGAGCGGTGGTGGGGGCAGCGGTGGAGGTGGTGGAGGCAGTGGAGGTGGTGGCGGCGGTGGGACTAGTGGTGGCAGTGGGGGCTCTGGTGGCGGCGGTGGAGTCAGCAGAGGGAGTGGCGGCAGTGGAGGCGGTGGGACTGGTGGTGGCAGGTCTGGACCTCGGCGTGGAGGCCCTGGTGGTGGTCAGCGACAGCAGCAGTAGCGTCGGAGCGAGACCAAGTCGCCCCAGCAGCTCCGTGAGTGGTTGGTTCAGCGTGGGACGGGTCGGGGTAGTGAGACCTGCCCGTATGTTATTCGCATGGGTGTCCGTGCGGGCCAGACATGCGGGAAGTTTCACACTGAGCACCGCTGCTTCTCCCGCCTTGACGACGCCTGGCGTGCTGAGTTTGGTGACGACGTCGAGCGCCCTCGCTGGACGGATTTGCTTAGGTCGGGAATTGCTATCTTTGACCTAGACTATGATGCTATTATCTCCGCCATGTATGCTTTGTCTTTTAATGCTGAGGGTGACTGTTACCGGTGTGTGCCACCTGACCCAGGTATAGCGGCTGCTGCTCTAGGTGCTAGTGCGTCTGGTACTCCCCCTGGTGCTGCGCCTGCTGAGGCCTTGCACAGCTTCACATTGGACTCAGGCGCCTTGCGCTGTTTCTTTCGTGACAGCACCACTCTCACTCCTCTCATTGCACCTGTCCCGGTCAGACTGGCTGACCCCTCTGGGGGCCCGGTCGTTGCCCGTTCCTCCACTGTCCTCCCGTGTCCGGCGGTTCCGTCCGGCTCACTGTCAGGTCTTCACCTCCCCTCGTTCTCTACGAACTTGGTGAGTACCGCTGCCCTCCAGGATGCGATGGTCACTACCACCACTCCTGAGGGTCAGCGTGTGTCGATCTGCACGTGCACACGGACGGGGCGTCACCTGGCTACGTTCACTCGTCGGCCAGGGTCGAGTCTGTACACGCTGG